GCAACGTTACTCACATCAACTTGATGTCTGCCGCGGTTTCGTTGAGTAAATCATGCCAGTCATAGTTCTACGCATGAATTCAAGCATGAAAAACCCAAAGCGGTCGTCAATCTGCATCCGGCATAGTTTAAGCCCAGGCACAGCCAGCATAAGGTTGAAGTACCGGATGGCGCCTTCAACGTCCTTTGCCTTGAAAGATGTGTTTTCGGTGTCAAGGACTTGCTTTTTCGAGGGAAAGCATGGAAAATGCGACCCCATTCCCCACGTCCCTCCAAACCGGTCCTTACAACAAATGTTGACCGAACCTGAAGACTCTTTGGTCAACAAAAACATGAGAATTTAGGTGACCACCAGCCATTGAGGGTGCTCCCACAAATCAATTCAGGGATGGAGGGCACTTCCCTTCAAGTTATCGCAGGTGTGTGTGTGTGTGTGTCAAATGGGGAACCCCCACGGTGACTTTCCTCTTGGCTTCCCATGAAGGGGGGACCATCCAAAAAAAGAGCAAGCGCACACACACACACACACACACACCAAAAACTAACGAAGGCAAGCAGTCAAAAAGTGCCGGGGCCACCCAAGCCACGCTTGCTCAGTTGTGAACCGTGTTTTTGGCCTAGTCTCAAACTGCAATGCAATGGTTCTTCGCTATTTCAGCTTCCAAGACTGCAAGTTCGGGAGTCTTGAGCAGTTTCTGGCACAACTGTCGAGCAGCGGAACCTATTCGAGCAGAGGACACCTATTCTTGTCCAGCTACGACACCTGGGGCGTTCAACCAGCCCCAGGTCTGACACAAACCAGCCCCGAAGCCATCTAAATTCAATGACATGCCAAACCCACCTTGACACAGCCGCATTAAACCCCTCAGCATAGGCCAACCGAAGCCAGCCAAAGCCCTACAAAGCCCAACTCAGCCTAGAACTTGGCGTGGAACTCATACCGACTCATGCCCGCCGATTCTGGCAGACCAGCCCAAATTTGGTCCAAGTCATGTTCAACCAGCCAGCCCACCAACCAAGCAACCAACCAACCAACCAGCCAGCCAGCCAGCCAGCCAGCCCGCCAGCCAGCGAGGCCAAGACAAAACGAAACTGCATTCCGCGAAGAGAACGTGGGAACGTTGACTTGCTTCCCCAAGGAAACATGCATAACAATGGATCCCCCGGTTTTGCCGTTGAAATCCCATGAGTTCTCCCATGTCCCATCTCAAATAGCAGCCATTCAGGGCTACCAATTTATTCCCCTTTGCGCATGACCCCGACGGGAAACTCGCAAAATCAATTGGTTCAAAAGTGATGTGTAAAACCACACTTCTAGGAACAAACTTGAGTTCTTCAAAATGGTAACCCCCCTTATGGCTGGTAGTTTTTCAGGGCAACAGAAGGAAACCACCATTTTGGGGTCCATGCCCGTAGGGAGCCTTGTGATTCTGACCACAACACAAAAAGCTCTCCTTCTGGCATCCCCGGATAAGTGCAACCTGGCGCGAGCTTGCATCGTTTGCAGACCGACTGCCCGCTGGCTGCACATATCGCCTGTGTCTAGGGGTGGATTCCAACCGCTCTCTTCATCGTTATGTTTGGAAACCATCCATTTTCCCACGGTCTGGCCCCCTTCTCAAGAGAATCTCTGATGAGAATGTGGAAGGTGCAGCTGGAACCTGACCAAGGGCACCTAAAGGGATTCTTTCAGAAAGTACGTCAGCCTATGCTTGTTCTCACTGGCCATGCCATTGTGGCAATCTAAACTCAATGGTCGCACCAAGGGTGAGCGCCGATGGATTTGACATTGGCATTTCAGAGGTCCCACTGGCAAATGGCGAAAGATATCTGATATTCTGTCGAGTCCAAGCTATGGCTGCATTTCCGCTCAGCGCAACCCTTGAAGTCAAGCGAAAACGCATTTGCAATCAAGCTGAGCTGGCATAGATCTGGTCATCTGCTTGAAACTTGTCGTCTTTCCTGGCCGACAGACGCGGATCTTGAGGACCGGGCTGATCTCAAGAAAAACGCGGAAGAAAAACGAAAGGAAGACAGAAAGAAAAGAATTCAAATGCGCACGAAAACAAAAGAAATGCATAATAACAAAAAATAAAGCAGGAAAAGGGGAAACAGCTAGCAAAGCAAACAAAACAACACAAACAAACAAACACACAAACAAACAAACAAACAAACAAACAAACAAACAAACAAACAAGCAAACAGCAAAGACAGAAATCAACAAAGAAAGAAAGACAGAAAGAAAGACAGAAAGAAACAAATACATACATAAAGAAAGACACACAACACAAACCAAACCAACCCAACCAAACTAATACTGAAACAAACAAACAAAAACAAACAAACAAACAAACAAACAAACAAACAAACAAAACAAACAAACAAACAAACAAACAAACACACCAACCAAACAAACACACAAACAAGCAAGCAAGCAAGCAAGCAAGCAAGCAAGCAAGCAAGCAAGCAAGAAAGCAAGCAAGCAGGCAGGCAGGCAGGAAGGCAAGCAACGAAGCAAGCAACGAAACAAGCAACGAAACAAGCAACAAAACATACAACACATACAAAACAAACAACAACAATACAGCCAAACAGGTAAGCTAACTGGCGAACTAACTGACTGGCTGGCTGGCTGGCTGGCTGGCTGGCTGACTGGCTGGCTGGCTGACTAACTGACAACAAAAGAAACAACCAAACATAAGCATGGTCGCACAATTGCGAACCACATTTATCTGAATTTACAGCACATGCTGACAAAATGGTGGCTGGCAAACTGCTGATGAAATAATCAGTCGACGACATGGCTAGTTCAGATCAATTCATGCTGCTATTGCAACACAAAGCTCTTAGCCGTGGCAAACACTGCAAAGCGTATCTTCAAGCTGTCATCATGTAGTATTCAATCCTGTCACTTGCCATGCTACAAGTTCTTTCTTCAAGGTGCATGTCATGTCTAAGATAACATATGATATAACTTCGTGGTGTTCTCGTCGTGTTCAAGCTGTGCTCGTTCGATCGAGAGGTGAATTCTCACAAAAGAGTCGACGAGAGGTTGATCCGGCCAAAGAAATCACCCAAAGAGCCAGAAAGCTAGCAGCTAAACTCGCCAAAGGAACAGTTGCCGAAACCATGCTTCCGCCATCTTCATGTCGCCCTCCTCGGTCTTCAACACATACAGTACACACACATACACACACACACACTTGATAAATCTTCCAAATCAGCACAGAACGTAAGCAACCTCTCAAATCCATGTAGTGCTATCGTTCAGCATCAAATGACCATGCGTGCTCTTCAGTCAGAATTGACCCCAACGCGACCTGATTTTCGCTACCAACTATGAACCACCGGTTTTGGAGCCCTCTCCAACAGGCTCGCATGTTAGACAACTCAATTGGCAAGGGGGACTGGTTGGAGGCAGCATCCTGCCGACGTGCAAAACAAAATCGAGAGCCAGCCAGGCTTCGTTGATGTTGCAATGGCTTGGATCTTTGAACCATCTGGGGCTGTTCCTTCTTTTGAGAGTATTTGCGTTGCTTTGTCGTTTTAAAGGGAAACCACGTAGAAAAAAACACCATTTTGTGGGGGGGGGGTTCCCCTCAAAAGGACACAGCCATCTGCAAAGTCTGCAAAGATTCCGAATTTCTTGGGCTAAGGAATCCCAGGAAAATTCCATGAGCCGGTTTTCCCGGTTGGAACTATGAGTTCGCCGCTTCGATGGGCCATCGGACGGAACTTGCCGAGTGCCCGGCGAGCGCTGCGCTGCGCACCATGGATTTGTACATGGCGAAGTTGGGTTGCAAGCCCATGGCCGGCAAACAACTCATAAGCCTGGCACAAACGAGAGCGAATTGGAACCCAAACAGGTTGTACGAAAAGTGTCCTCCAATGATGTGCTTGTTTGGGTAACATGTTATCAGGTTAATCTGCGGGGGGGTAGCTTCCAAAGCAAGTCAACACATGGCCTCTGGAAGGCTTCTGCTTCCCCTTTGCAACTTGCTGATTCGGACGGAAGGTCCAGCATCGACACGATGTGGCAGACTTGGACACCCTTGCAATGCTGGCGGACATCCGCTGTCCACTGACAGCACTCTGAAAGCAGCTGCTTTTCTGCTTTTCAAGGCCTTGTGGCTCCTTTCAGGTCCTTCTTCTCATCTGTAAGGCCTTGGTCATGCTTGCGAGTCCCTCTCAAATGGGTGTGGCTCAATATTCAAGAGCTGGGGTTACGCAGGTTTTAGTCTTTGGTTCCAGTTACCAAGGTGCCGCTTTTGGTACATTTGCATGAGCCACAGCCAGATGAAACATGGACCGGTTTTGACCCAACCTTGCGATCCGTCGGATCTGGGCGCCCAGCGTTGGAGGAGCCGACGACACATCTTCAGCGTCGGCTTCACGTAAGCGAGCAAGCTCCTGAGCGAGTCAAGCCTTGGAGTCAAACTTGGATCTGATCCCCAGTCATGTCACAGAAGAAAAATCAAACAACAACTTAGTGTTGTACTCAAAATGGGGGGATTCGAATCACGGATTTCCGATTGTCCCAGGATTTTCCGTGCATTCAACAAGTGGCCAAAACATGAGCCATGTTCAACCCGCCCCCCCGCCCCCAATCTCTGGAACATGTCTGTCAAGGCCATGAGACGTCCGGCACCTCACGTGTCACCAGCAAAACTTGGGGGAAGCAAGGGCAAGGCCGCGCCACTCACCGGTGAAAAAACAACAACAACGCTTCGGATCCATCCCAGTGAAAGGAACCTTTAGAGTCTGCGTCGCAACCCCAACGTGTTGACCTTGTCAGATACGAGTGCAAACATCGCCACTTGCCAGCTTTCTTTTGCTCGAGGCAGCACAAACTGGGTCGGCAAACCAGAAACATGACCCCGCCATGATTGAAACAAGACGGCTTCAGATACGTGGTGGGCCCAGCAACAAGAGCTTTGACATTTTACCATGTTATCCTGGTGGCAACTGACAAAAGGGGAGCCCCGCAAGAGGCAATTGATCAACCAAGTTCCCACCCAAAGCTTCTAGTGAGAGCAAACTCAGGGCTGGCTGGCGGCTGGCTGGCTTCTGAAGAGAAACATGGTTCAAGAGATTGAGACTCAACCCTCAGTGATGCAAGTTGAACGTTGATACCAAAGTTCCACCGAGCACCGCCTAGGTCCTCCAGTAGAGAGGTTAGAATAAGGGTACCCGATTTTTTTCTGTAGTCTCTTTTAGTAGGGGAACCCTCCCAACCAAAAAAGGGGAGAGAAAGGGCACCTAGCTGGGGGACCTAGCAGCGCAAAAAAATCGCTGGACCGCGACCGCATGAGACTGCGCGCCTCATGGCTTCCTCGGTATCGTCCGCCTCGAGGCGGCTGATCATCAGCATGTCCTCGGCCCTCAGACCACCCAGGGGAACCACATGCCACTCTAGGGGATGTTTTTCATTTTTTTTGTTTATTTTTTCCCTAATGTTGGGGGTTAAGGCCATGATGTAGGCCATGATTTTAAGGGTTGATTTTCAACCATCGTTATTTTTTCAAAAACCGGATCCGTTTTTCCTGGTTTCCGCTGGTTTTCTAGAAAGATTCGGATCCAACTGGAAAGAATGGAATTGGAAGGTAGCACTAGAACCACATGACAAGGGCAAGGCTCAGATGCCCATCTGGAGTCTCCTCCTGACCTTTACAAAAATGGTTGGTCATTACCCAAAAAATGGTTGGTCATGGACCCATTTCTAAAGGGTCATGGAGACTCCAGTGGATTTCCATGTGAAAAAGAAGGGCATCCGCCTTTTGGTTGGTTGCGACTTTGCGGGGGGAACCCTTCCCAAAAAACAGGAAAAAAAGGCGCCGCTGGGCAACAAAGAGGGCGTTTCGCCACTTGCTATCCTTTGCTGATAAGACTGGCAAGGCCTATAATCTGAGTTGATAGCCACTTCAAGCGCGAAAAGCCAGCGCAAAAGAAAAGGCCGTTGGTTTGCTGTGTCTCGCGGCAACCAAGCATTGGACTCCTTTCCGAACCTTGCATGCCACGCTTGGATCCGGCCTTCTTTTCGTCTGAATCAATGGGCCATCGGTGAAACGTGGGCTCAACAGCTCAACCCCACTTTGTGGGGTCAAAGTTTTCGCCGAGCCCTCGGAAAATCGCTCGCTCCATGCGCAGTCTCCCTTCACTTCCGAGGGCACCTTAATGCAAAAGCCAAACAAATATATGCTTGCGTCACTCTCCCACCTTTGCGCTCATCTTGATACTGGGCAACATCAACCATGGATCAAACCCGCAACCACCAATTGGTGCAAAGCGGATTTTGTCCAGTGGCTATCGGCCAGCGTAGGCTGCCGAGCGCCCAAAAAGGCTTTGGACCAAGAAGCTTGAAGTGACAGCAGTTGTTTGACAAGATGGTCGCCGGAACCTCTTCCTCTGGGCACTCCTCCTGGCCAAAAAAAAAGCCCACTGGGTGTGACTCAAAATTAAACCGGAGGGGTTACGCAGAACTTTGGTCCATTCCACTTACCAAGGTTCCATTTTGGAATTCCGGTTTTTGGAGCCGCAGCCAACTCTCCTAAAGCAAACGATCGTGCCACGGGCAAAGCTCCCGAACTGCGGGCCATGGTCAGGGCTCAGTCAGGTTTGTTTGTTTGGTTGCCTAAGACCCCCCGTCCCGACCAACCCCAGGTAAAAGGCTGCTTTTACCCAGGCAAAAGCATGGTTCGTCCTTCGATGAAAGAGGCACCAATTTCTTGGGCCTGTGTCTCATCAAGACCTACGAAGATTGGAAACAAGCGAAGCTTCGAAGCCCCTCCCTGTCAAAGGCTTCTCTACCCAGCCACAAGCCAGCGGTTTGCTTGCCACAACTGGTGTCCTAATTTCCGAAATGTCAAAGATGCCCATAGACTGCCATCGTCTCGTCTCGTGAAGAGTTTTCATTCTCAGCAGGACCCCTGTCAAGAGAACGCCAAAGGGAATTCTCCAAACAATTGTCCTGTTACCTTCATGTCATACTTCCGGCCAATCGCGAAAAATGAAGCGATTTAGCGAAAAGAAAACACGAGTCATGTATCAAAGCTTCAGCGTCACAAAGGGTGGATTGGGGGAGGGGGTGCAACACACAAAGATGTGTCAGTTGTGAGCATTTAGAGAAGGCACCACGCTCGACCATTCTCGCCTGACCCACGTTCCAAAGCCCAGTGAGCGAGGCGTTTGGCGGCGGCGGAATCTGCGTCCAATTGGAAATGTTGTCAGTGCCTGAGCTCATTGCATCTGACAAGGCCTCCTGAATATTGCATTCGATACCTGATGTGTTTACTGGTTAACGCTTGCAATGAATGTCAAGTATGGAGCCACCATCTGCAGCACTGTGAGGTAACAAATATAAATCAGGGTGCGTCCCGCGGCATATCTATCAGCACGTTGAGCCAAATACCGTAAATAAACAGATCTAGATGGCAATCAAGTCATTGAATGTCATAGCAAGTGAAGGAGGCTGTCACGCTACTGCATCATCTTCATGCTTGCAGGTTGCTAAATGCATTCGACAGTTGCCAACTCAACGCATAAGTTCTTTCATGCTTCGCATGTTCAGCCTATAGAGACTGGTTGGGTAACCTTGCAATCCGAGCTGGTCATTGATTCCGGGACCGTGCTCATTCTGCTGCATGTGGTGAACAAACCTTGGGATTGAGGCATGCTGGGAAAAGCTTCCGGTAAATCAGAAGTGCACATATCTTCAAATGTCTTCAACCAATGAAAGCCAATGATCTGCAATGTTTACTATAATTCCAAAAGCTGAAGAATGGATCTTTAAGTAAAGGACCTTTAATACATGGTGAGCTCGTTGTACCCCGTGGTGAGCTCGCTGTAAAATTCGCAGAATGATGTCTCTGATATTGACTGCTTGAACAGTCTGTCAGTGCTTCTGTCGCGCATATTTCGGAGTTGTCAAGTAAATGAATGAAATGTGCCTTCAGCCAGATAAAAGGGGTGCAGAGAGATGCGACCCCTGTGGTTGTGTCATAGTAGGGTTGGCTTTCCCTGAGGTTCTTTGTGTAAACCACCCAACAAGGGTACACTCAGAAAACACACCCACACACACACTCACATGTGCATGTCCTTTGTGCAAGCCAGTCACGGTGCCGCTCCATGATTTTGGTCCAAACCGACCTCGGGCAGTGGAGGTTGGTCAACGTGTCCAAATCGTGGGTCACGGTTCGGAATAGGAACATTTACCATGGTTTTATCGGACCCTTAAGGGGTCATGCCCATTCCTGCAAAAGCAATGCGGTCTGTTGCCCACAACACACGTTCTGTGCTGTGCAGGCGAACGAAGCCGAGCCCCTTGGAATGTTCCCACAGCGATCAGCCGTCAGATCGATATGCCAATCGTCAGGTAAAGCTCTGAGATTGGGCATATACACATACAAATTTGCCTAGGACCCCCAAACACACACACAAAACATGCCTGCATTGTTGATCTGTTTTAGGCTGTTTGGGGGAGTTCCCTCAAGAGTGTGATAGACCCACAAAGTGGGTTGGGAACCAGGAAACTATGGAACACTCATAAACAACAAAATGTACTCGGGTTGTCAAAATTAGGGAGACCTTTTGCTCCAAGCACGCAGCAGGGTCTCAAAAAGGCGACCTCATTCACACGCAGCTCAAAAGAGCTGCGACTTGTGGATCCGTTGAAGGTCGGAACCCTATCCACGCCTCTCGAAAACAACAAGTTGGGCAACCCACTCGAAAAGGGATCCTTGCATTATACACCTGAACATTGCCTTGTAAATGGTGGTTTCTCTTTATTTGGCTGGAAAAAGCCATGTTTCAAATGGGCAAAATGTATCTTTTAAGGAGCCCGACACTCCCACATTTGTGCATCGCCGAGGTGCGCGGCCGGGCATTTGGGCCTGCACCATTTGGCTGCAGTTGGGTGACCCGGAGAATAAGTTGTAACTAGGCTGGAATTAGGACCCCGGCAAAAAAGATCTTTTTTGCCTGGTTAGTGGAAAACAAAGGGAACCCAAAAAAGCAAAAAAGGAAAGAAAAAGGGGGAGCTAATTCTGGGGAAGGTAACAAATAGATTCCGAACGGATGCTCGCAAGTGACCGGAACCTATTTAGGGACCCCTGATTTGGGTGCCAAGTAGCCAATTACAAAATTGCATCAAGTTCTTCAGGAGGAAGCGACAAGAAAAATCCTACTTTATGAAGGGAAATCACCAGCTCCACAGTTCATTTTGGGGTTGTTCCCCTCATTTCCTAGGGGCTCCAACTTGCAAGAGTTATAATTACGGCACTGCACCAACCCTGCACTTACACTCACAACTACTTTAAACAAACGCGAGCTTGCCTCACCTTCAATACCAGAAATCGTCCCTTTCATATCGACAGCACTGAAGTTCTCTGTAAATTAGTATGCACGCGCAAGCAGGACAAAGCTTGTCAAGCATGTCGAAACAGCAAGCAATGCTTCGTCCGGCCTGGAGTGGGTGTACTCCATGGCGTGCACATCGTGAGGGGTGAAGGCGCATTGCCGCACTTCCGAACCAGGAGCGTTCTTGGTCCGGCACTGCTGAGAATACAGAAGTGAGTCATAATCAAAACCCGGTATTGAAATTAAAGAAAAAAGAAGGCGGCCGCAGCTATTTATGGTTGGGATTGTCCCTTACTAACCTTCATCTACCCAGGTTTTCTTGTACCAGAGGGCTCCGTCCAGTCAAAGGACACGCACACCCTCCCCCTCCGAAGCATTCAGGCAGGAGGCCCAGCTGGCATTCACTTGGTACTTGTCAAAGACCTTCGCCGGTCTTGCGGTGAATCTGGGTTTGTCTCAAAGTAGCCTAAAAAAGATGCGTGTTCTTGCTGATTTCCCTCCACCGCCCGCCGCAACAACAACAAAAAACAGACAGAGTACCGTACCCTCAAACAAGCAACATCAAAAGGCAAACTTGCGCCTTTCAACTGTGGATGTTCCAGCTACTCATCGCTTGCTTCGAAGACCCAGCGCCTTTTTCAAGTTATAGTAGTTGTCCAGCCTCGGTGTGCAAGTTCAATTGCAAAACCACATTGTGCTTTGTGGAGGGCACTTTAGTTTTTAATGAGACACCAAGAGCACAGCCATCCAATTTCGGGTCTGCGCCACATACACATCTCAATTTCACGTGTTTCAAAGGCACCGGTCCTGTTGCACACAGGTTCTTGTCAAAGCGGCACCTGCCATCCGAGTCGATTGGCTGCCAGGAAGCAGGTACAGCTCCGGTTGACCCTGCAGGAAGTTTGGAGAGAGAGTCAGGCCGTACCTCAGTCAAAGCCTGACCCTCCCAAACATGGAAGCGCACTCACCCCGCGGCTGTTCTCAGATCCCCTGCTAAAAGATTAACTTTTAGTGGGTTAAGTAGAAACCCCCACTAAACCCTACAAAGCCTAGGAAAACTTGAGGGGACGGCTGGGAAACGCCAAGAAGACTACTTGCCTTTTGGGAAGGGAATCTGTGCAATTCCGTGAGGGCGACAGAAGGGTCAAATGGTCAGTTTTGGAGAAGTCAGCAGAAGCGCGCGCAAAAAAGGCATGGCAGCCGCTTTCCCTAGGCGAGTAGAACTAGCGGCAGCTGCCAACATGTTTGCCTGAGACTGGATATCGTTTGGGTACACTGGGTCAAAGTGGTCAAAGTTGTTCCATGTCTTTCTTCCGCCAAATCATTTCATTTGCCCATTGTGGGTGGAAGCATTCCGTGGGACGCCATTGTTTCAAGAAATGTCCGCTGATCGGCGGTCAGTTCTCGCAACGCAACCGGGCTAAAAGACTGATGGCTTCGCTTGAATGGGAAAGGGTAACCAGGTGAAAACATGCATCATGTTTGTGTTTGCCTTGACAGCTTCTGGAGCTTTGGATCTTTCCTTTCGAACCAGGCTCAAACCCTCTGCTTGTGGGTTTGTTGAGGTTCCAAAAAACAAACTTCGATGTACTGGGCATGCATACACATATATATATATATGTATATTATGTATATTTGCTTTACACTCTCTAGGCGTGCATGTGCACTTCGCAATTCTTCCGTACAACGCACACACACGCACACAATCACACCCGCACACACAAAAAGCGATCCCAATTCTGGCAGGACGCTCCTCCTTGTCCATAGACCACTGGAAAGCAATGGCACCTAGGTGTGTCATGGCAAGTAGGTGTCTGACCTGGGCCGACCCCTAACATGGATGCTTCAATCAAAATGACGAGCCCCTTTTTGGTGGCTACAGGGAAACCACTTGCAGTTTGTGAAAGTGGCAGCATGTCCATATTCTCCCACTGACTGTCACCTTTGGTGCAAGTGGATGGAGGTCACTGGCCAGTGGTTGCCTGTTCATTAGCCACGTGAAAGCAATGGATTCAAATCCCACCACTGATCCATTCAATCAAAGGTTTCCTGCTTTGAGCGCAAAGCCTTGAGCTATGGCGCCACTCATCATCTCCCCCATGTCGTGGCCCATGAGGTGCTTCACTTCTGGCCACTGACGGCCATCTGGATACCTCGAGCGTTGATTTCCGCATTGTGCGACATTCCCCACCTGGGAGTGGGTCTTGTTGGGAACCCCCCAAACAAAAACACGAAAAACAAGTTGTGGTTGTCCGTTGGTTTTCCTTTAAACGCCGCAAACAAGCGGGGGGTGTACCAACTCAAACGGCGAGCCTCCCACGTGTGGCAAATGGTTTGCTCGCCCGGTGAGACATACCCAATGCCAAGCCACGGGCACTTTGTCGCAAACTGTCCCAGGTTGCAGCCAAACTCGGTGAAGAGGAATGGCACCTGAAAACGGAAACTCCGTCGGCTCTGGAATTCCAGAGGACACCTGGAAACCTCAACCCTTTTCTGGCTCGGTGCGTGTGCGCCCGCAAGATCAGCCGTGCTTGCAGTCAGAAAGTGAGTCCCACTTTCGACCCCTGGTGCCAAAAGAGAAAGCCATGTTGCCTAGAACCAAAAGCCCGGAGATCCGCGCCATTTTCTGCTTGACTGTTCCATTTGACTTGGAACTAGGTGTTCAACCCAAAAAGTCTTGGTTTAAGCTTCCTGTTCGTAGTCCTCGTTTCAGGGGACCCTGCTTGACCCACCTCCCAAGACACACTCGTGAAAAAATGCCGGTCGAAGCCATGGTTCGTTTTGTCTCTCACATTCGCAGCCCTTTTTTCTGTGCGGGGCACCGAGGTATCCTTGAAATCCTTCTTGATCTCGTAGTACGGTGAGTACCTGGGAGCCGCCAGCTGCCAATCCCACTCTCAAAATAGAAGTGTCATGTATTCCTTCCGAAAATCAAGGAGCCCCAAAAAACTGGGCTGGTGGTCCTTTTCCATGCCGAAAGGCCATTCATGCATCCAAATCCGTCCAAGAAGCTGAAAGTTGTCCTCTTTCCCAGCGCCAGGATATTTCTGCGGCAAGGCATCGGCAACTGTTCCAAATGCATGGCAAGGGCTGCTGAAAGAAACAGCAGCAGCGACAAAGGACGGAACATATGAGATGACAAAAACAAGAACATACCTAAGTCTTCTTGTGCAAGCAACTAGTCTCCTTCCACTCCTGGTTTGCCTCGAATTCACGATCAGCGGGGCAAGCAAGCAACACGGAGACAAAATGATTGATTCTTGTTGCGAAGCCGGACGATCTGATACTGACTTGATTTGGTTCGCATGGGCTCCGGTACAAAGCCACACGCTACGCAATGCCTCAGCTCTGGTGATGTCGGCTACCAAGAATTTAAGGAATACCAAACCGAGACCAACCATTTTTGGTCCCCGAAAAATAAGCGGGTGCAAGGGAGTTGCGCGTGGAGAGGGATGCCAACCCATCAGAAGGGACATCCTGGTGACATCCAGAGCCTATGGATCGATGCCCCAACGGGCAGTACTTGGCCCGACGAGGTGGCACCGATGCTTAAAGCCCTGCCTCATCACACCAGGAGTAGACATTCAGGCCGTAGACGTCCACGGCATCGTCCTGATGGCCAATGCGTCGTAGTGAATTCTGTTATGTATATATATATATATATAAAGTCACCCCCCCATGATCCACACCTAGAATGTGGTATGCAATAAAACACTGTAAGTTACAGTGTGTTCGCAACATGTTGTAATATGTATATATATATATGTATATATATATATGTAATCAGTATACGGTTGTGCTCCAGCCATCGCACCTTTTTACTGTGAAATGGTGGGGTTGGTTGGATTCAGCTTAGTGTTGTTTCAAGGGTCAGTTCGAAGGGTTGATTTGAGATGGGCTTTGAGAACCCCGTCACCATTTGAAGGGGGCGGTGAGGAAGGGGCCCTATACTGGCACGAGGCTTGGGAGCCCGCTCTGCTGGCTTGCCAAACACGAAGGTTTGGGAGCGGGGGAGGCGGGAACAGAATTCACGAAGGGTGCGCCATGACGAATAGACTTCGGCTTGCCCAAGGGCTACCAAGTGGCCCACTCTCCCTTCACACTTCTGTGTTCAAAGCACAGGTAAGCGGGCTTTATGATTCTGCCCTATGCCGTATGCCCCATGCACTATGTATGCATGCATAGATGTATATATGTGTAATACGTGTATATGTATTGTGTCAACAAACGTGTACCCCTCAACAAACAAACATATACCCCTTCCAAGGTGCTCTTTCACCAGGACCTGTTCACAAACGCAGCATTCCCTTCCAAAACTTACCCAATCAAACGCGGTTCCTTATGCACTCTTTGCATTTCACCCTTTCAATATGGAAATCCATCAAGCATGGCCCAACAATCACCCAAAACGAGAAACATGAGGTCCAAAAGCTCAGCGACTGAGACGCTTCGGAGCGTGCACCAACATGCACCAACCAACTCGGGTGAAGAAAATTCATCGCCCCCCCGCGCCTCGCTGTCCATGGCGCAGGTCAGGTATGCCGCAACCTGGCCCCGGTCACCTGGGACAATTCCAGTGGGCTCGTCTCCGATTAGACGAGCCATAGTGGTCGTATGGAAGTTCCGCTATGGTCCAAATATGGTGGTCTCCCAACGTGGTTTGTATGCGCCAGAGAGGGACCCATTGACTTGTTTGATTCTATTAACATGGTCAAGGTTTATAAAGGCTCCACTATAGTCCCTATTACAGGTAGGAACCGCCTACAGATACTAAAATGGCCAAGGGGAATCGGTTTTGGGTGCTGGTCAAAGCACAACAACGGAAAAGACCGAGCCGTTGAGGTTTGTCTTTTTTGGAAGCTTGAACTTGTATGCCGTCTTCGGAGTCCAAGCACTTGCAACCAGAGCACATCAAAAGTTGACCCAGTTAAATCCCCGAGCCAAACATGCAATAGTCTCTTCCAGACAATGCCCCAGACAGACCACCGCAAGCTGCTCAGATCTGCCCCCTGTTCGGCACATCCGTGCAGGGGGTGGGCTTTGCGGCCAATGTGCCTGCTCCCATGTCGACGTCCGAGTAAATCCTGAGCTGGTCGACCCCTTCGGCGCAACTCAAGACGGAAAAACCATGGACTGATGAGCCTCCGTGATTTCCTCACAATGTGCGGTGTGTCCTTTTGAAGGCTCGGTGATCCTTTAATGTGTTGTTGGGCCATTGCAATGGCTCCCTCAGGAAACCTTGCACGTGTCCTAATAGGGGAATGCCCCACAATGAGATTTGGTCTCGGTGATTTTTTTTGGTGGGCGCGCGTGCGCGCGTGGGGGCGTGAGGGCGTGGATACGTGCAAGGTGCGGGGGTGGGTGGGCGTGGGGGGTCTTTCGTGCGTGCGTGGGTGTGTGGGTGTGTGGGTGTCGGTGCGGGAGGTGCGGGGGTGCGGGAGTGCGGGGGTGCGGGCGTGCGTGTGCTTGTGCTTGTGCGTGTGCGGGTTTGTGCTTGTGCTTGTGTTTGTGTCTTTGAGGGTACCATTTGTTCTGCTCGGTTTAAAGGAGAACCAGCAGGAACCCCACATTTCGGGTCCCTCTAGTGTGACATCTTGGCAATTCGTCAATTTTTTGCCGGTTAAAAGTAAAACTTGCTTTGGACCCCAAAAAGGCAAAGGGGCCCTTCAAGGCAAGTTAATTTTCCTTCTGTACCAAAAGTAGGTAACCAGGAAAACAAACAAAGGCAAATGTGGGTCTGTCTTTCCTACCATCTTTGGGGTTGTTGTGAAGGCAAACCAAATGGAGAACCATAACCCCCCATTTTAAGCCACAGTAACGTCAGTCATAATCCAAACCCGTTCAATCTACCCCAAGCCATACGTAGTAAAGAATGTTCCGAGGGCGGCCCCTCATCGGTTTTGATTGTGTCCTGTGTCCTTCTGCGTGGCAGTTGATCAAAATTCCTGGCCCCCAAATGACCAGGGGTTAGTTTTCCCGTTTACCCTCCTTCCTACTAACATGGCAACTGACAGGGGGTCCCTTCAAAAGGAAATTCATCTTCCAGGTACCTCCCCACAGGTGCCATGTTAGTTGGAGGAAGAGTAGCGGGTCTTCCCCACTGGTCATCCGATGTTTGGACCTTTGATCAACCCACGGTGCTTCGCTTTGGTCAAAGCTGCAGCGGCACCCGTCGCATCGTGGAGCCACAGGAGGCCTGCGGCAAACGTCGGCGCCAAACGTCTGAGCTGACTGACTGTCTCGAACGAAAACTGCCCCAAACCTATTGACTGTTGGGTCTACCAACATGGTTATAATGGTGTGGGTCCAACATGATTGTCATGGTTTATGTAGGTCCAACATGATTGTCATGGTGCAGGTCTATCATGGATATTGTGGCTTGTGCAAGTCCAACATGGTTAGTAGGACTAACATGGTCATCAGGGTTATGTCGGCCCAAATTGGTTTACATGGCTTATTACGGTCCAACACGGTTATCATGGTTTATGTCAGTCCAACATGGTTCTCATGGTGTAGGTCCAACATGGTTGTCATGGTATAGGTCCAACATGGTTATCATAGTACACGTCCGATGCGGATATCGCCGTGTAGGTCCAACATGATTATCATGGCTTCGGTCGGTGTCGTTCCAACATGGTTGTCACGGCTTATGTCGGACCAACTTAGCTATCACGGCTCAGGTTGGTCCAACGTGGTTATCTTGGTTTATGTAGATCCAACATGGTTCTCATGCAGATTTATGTAGGTCCAATGTAGGAACAACATGGTTACTATGGTGTAGGTCCAACTTGATTATCACACTTATCATGGTTTAGGTCGATCCAACATGGTGTTGACGGTGTAGGTCCAACTTGGTTGTCATGGTGTAGGTCCAACATGGTTTTCATGGTTTGTGTAGATCCAACATGTGAGTCCACCATGGTTGTCATGGTGTACGTCCAACATGGTTTTCATGGTTTCGGTCCAACGTGGTTCTCATTGTTTACGTCGGTCCAACATGGTTATCATAAATGTCGGTCCAGCATGCTTATCATAGCTTGTATCGGTCTGATATGGCTATCAGTCGGTCCAACATGGTTCTCATGGTATAGGTCCAACATGATGATCATAGTGCAAGTTCAGCATGGTTGTCATGTTGTAGATCGAACATGGTTATCATGATTTATGCAGGTCCAACATAGTTCTCATGGCATGTGTCGGTCCAACATGCTTATCATGGTTCAAACTGTAGCCTTTTTGAAACCGGAAGGAGAACGACCTACTAAAATTGCAAATAGGAATTTGAGCCCTGCTTGAGCGGGGTATATGGGTGTTTCTAGAAATCAGGCACCGCTCCAGTTGGTTGGTTTCTTTTTTCGCTTTAAAACCATTCAAAAAGGGTCCCCTAATTTAAGACAGACCCATCTGTCAAAATAGGGACGCCACAAAAATAGCTAAGGGTTTCCTGTTGGTTTCCCACTAAGACAGCCTGAAAATGAGTACCCAAAAAACCTCAAATCACCCTCGAAATGGGAGGGGGGATTGGCTAAAATGGGGGGAATTCGCCTCGAAATGACTGCAGCTCAATGGGAAACCACTCCAAAAAACCTTCGGGTAAAGCAAAACGTAAGGTTTTGATTTGGTATATATCATATCATATCCCCGTGTTTTTGTTCCCGGAAAGCTACTGGATTCCGAATTCGTAACATGTTCTATAAGCAAGACCCCACATAAAACGCGGATCCATGTCGTAGGCTTCAGACCGGGACCCAAAAACAGCGGAAAATGCTTGCTTTCTTGTTGGCTCCCTTTAAACCCTTTTTGGGTAAGGTTAAGGTCTCCTGGCTGATGGTGACATCTTGGAGGGAAGGCTTTTTAGCAGAACAAAAAGCCCGACGCCATGCCCTTTTGGAGCTAAGAAGTGGTCCCCAAACCATTCAGGTTTCTATACAAATCACGTACACAAAGGCCAAACAGTCATGTGCCCCACAGGAGCCCCTGATTTGTTTAAACAAATCACTGTTTTGGTGACCCCTTTAATGGCGAGCTTTCTTTGGGTGTGACATTTCAAGATCAAAGCTAATGGCAAGGGCATCTGAGAGCGAGACATGGCAGCAATAAAATCTGGCAATGCAAAGTTGAGATTTGGCAAGTCCAAGTCCAGCGCAAACCCCTAAACAGAGGCTCTAAATCACTGTGGCTCTGTTCGGGGGTCATATTGAAGCAGACCCAACATTTTCCAGTTTGCCGCCGAGAATACCAGCTTCTTTAGTGTCCACATAGCGTTTGTATCCCTGCTAAAAAGTTCAAACACTTTTCGTGGGTTCAGTTCGGAAACCCAACCACTAAACCAACAAAAAATCCAAACACCTGCCGATTCGCTGGGCGCCAAGAAATAGCCCAACTCTTCCCTTGACAGCGTTGGGTTTGGATGGATGCCGGTGCGCTGCTTGCTTTTTGCTGGCCTGATATCGGTGGACGTCTCGGGTCAGCGCTTTCACGCAGGGGAAGGCCGCCCAGCCGTTCTTGTCGTTTTGCGCCTGGGAAAACCGCCGAGCTCTTTGTGGTACGCCGAAGACATGGTTTGAGGCTCGGTGCCCGACGGGGGTTGCTTGAAAAGGAAGCCAAAGGACACCCGGCATCTTGGAAAACCCCGATTTTGAGGCGACGCCCTTTGGTGTCTTTGACACCTTTGGGTTTGTCCCCTAGGATCTATGCACACTTGGGCAGCTTCCCCCTGGAAAGCCGGGCTCGTCCCCTGGCCGTCCCCTGGCCGTCCCCAATGTCCTGCTCAAATTCATCACCGGCAACTTCCACCGAACCTCTGTGCCACACGTTCTTTGACCTACGGTCGTGGGTCCAGCAACGCATGAATCACCCTCCGACCGAGCAAGCACAACATGCAATTGACCGGAAAATCCCCCCGTGATCGAAAAATGGTCTTGGGCCTGGTTAGGCGAATTTGGTCATCCTGGTCACAGGTTTAAAAGTTTCTTGCTTCTGCTTGAGACAAAACTCCAGCTCATTCGCCACAGTCAGGAGCAGGGTGTTGTTATACTGGCTGAACTCCTTGACGATCTGCTTGGCAAAGCCTGCCCGTCGCGTTCGCGGACATTTGGATTGCGGTGGTTTCAAAGAAGCAGACTCATAAGCCCAAGGGGCTGAGCGCGTTCACACCCACGTTGCCATAGCCGTCAATCTCCTTCAATGCCATGCAATGTAAGAGCCATGGTCTGAATATGTAGTTCACTTGCAGGGCATGGACAAAGTAGTGAGTCCTCTGCTCTTGGGCTTGGCTTGGCTTTAGTTCCCCAGTGTCCTTCCCCAATGGACAATGCACTAGGTATTTTTGACTGGACACTTGTAATCATTTTGCTGTAAAAGCAAAAGGGTCCTGAGCAAGCTCCTGCTTGCATACACCCGAACCTATCCTTGCAGGCTTCTGTGCTTGCATGCGTGTGGGTGTATGAGTGTTGTGAATGTGTGCGTGCGAACACGTGCTTGTTTGCTAGTGGCTGGGCGGGCGGGGCGAGCGGGTGGGTGGGGTGCGGTTGGGTTGGGTGTGGTTGGGTGTGGTTTGGGTGGGTGGGTAGGGCCGGGTGAGGCAGGGTGGGGCGGGTGGGGTGGGAGGGAGGGAGGCTGCGGAAGTGGGCCTGGAGGTCCGGGATGGGTCGCATTCACGAGTTGCTGCTGGGCCTCGTGCTCCACTCGCAACTGAACTACCACATGCTGGCACTGGGTCAACAACCAGCTTGGCATTACTCCGAACCACTGGAACAACAAAACCATGAACAACAAAACCATGAGCGGTTGCAACGGGCAACTGCTCGAATTAATAGGGGTCAAGCGAGGACTCATTTCAGGCAACTGGCAACCAGGCTGCATTTGCTGAGTACAGCCAGATCCAGGTTCAACAAAACATTCTAAATATGGCTATGGGTCAAAATCCAAATCGTACCCCCCCTGAACATCCCAATCCCCACTATAGACTAAAATGGGTGGCGCACCTACCCCAAAATGGCACCATTGGTTTTGACCCACAGCCATATGTTTGTTTTACCAATAGCTGTGGAAACCGGTTAGACAACTGGTCGCCTCGCAGGCATCTCCGTCCCTTCCAGCTCCTGCGTGTAGCAGTCCGGCGAGGGGAAAGCGGGCAAAAAGCCCCAGTCCTTCCCATTCAACGGCACGATGACCTAAGGGCAAACCAAATCGGCAGGGGCTGATAGAAATGGGTGTGTCTTTGCTGGGGGATTTTCAAAATGGATGGTTTCCTTTTGGTTTTCCCTTGAAACCAGCCAAAAGAGGGATCCCCCCAACAAAAAACAAATGTTCTAAGAATCTTCTTGGTGGGTAGGGGTCACAGCTTGGAGTCCGGTCTTGCCTGTCCTGAAGCTCTACTTCCCCTTTCACCACCCCACCAAAAAGAGGCTGCTTTAAACTGACCCAGAAAAGGTGATGCTTCAACCCACCTAAATGGGACATATAGGGACCTGCGTTCTTGGCAGCTACGCCGAGATGCGTAGAGTCCCAGGGAGTGTGCCTGCAGCGGGTTTTGCGCACAGCGATGCAAATTTTAAGTCTGGGGACCCTGTCACTGCGATCGAAATACATGATACCTACTGATAAGCAAACCGGAGAAGCAGGGCAATTCCGGCAATGCAATCCTCTTTGCACTTCAGGTCAGTGGTACAAGGTAAAAGTAAATGGCACGATTCTATGTGCTACAGTAAGAGGATGACTAAAGCAAAATGGCTTGGAATTGAATTCGGCATCTGAGCCAAGGTCAATGTCCTTTGTGTCCCCAACTGACATGGGAATGTGGCGAGTAACCCCCATCTCCTCCGACTTGATTACATGAATATATTGACGGTTTAGCATCTACTTTCACCACGCAAGTTCGCAGAAACCTTCCATCTGATGGTCAAAACTACCAGCTTGTGTGGGCAAAGGAAATCATGCTTCCCTTAAGATGTCCCACCATTGTTTAAAATCCAAGGGTAGATAAGCATCCCTGTGGATGCCTACATATTGCGCGGAACAAGTTGGAACCCAACTGTAAATTGAACCATGGCTTCTGTGATTTGAATCAGTACTTGCACTATTTAGGGCAGCCACGGTAGGTGTCCCTGAGCAAGCCAGTCTTTTCACCACTCTGTGAGCCATGGCCTTCTCCATGAACTTCTTGTGACTATTCTGAGGGTCAACGTTGTAGAGCCGCACCGTGTTGGCGCCTCCAGGTCTCCCAACCAAACGAAGAAATTGGAGCTGCTTTTGTTTGCTTGTGGTGGGTGCTTGGCACCAATCTCCCGTAGAACTCCCTGGTTTCCATGAGAATCTCAACTAGAGGATTCTGATGTATCCACATATCTCACCGTCATAACAGGATGTCGCACAAATCCAGTCTGCTTCATAGGGTCACGTGATGCACAGGTCGACATTTCTGCGCACTGACTAACGTGAGCCCACCAAAGCAAATCAGTCATCGTTCGTGAATCTCGCGCCCGACAAAAGCGTGCACTTTTTATTAGTTAAGATAATATCTGTGCACATCATCCCGGCTATGAGGCCCCTGCCCATGTCGGCAATCGCCTGCAAGTCGACGCCTCAGCTTGAGAGTGGAACCAGGATTAGCTTACTCTACCTTCAAGATTGATATCCACAAAAAACTAGATCCTGCCCCTAGCAGGGGCGCGACCCTGTAGGTCGTGGTTATCAGTGCTCTACCAAATCTTGATCGGAACCTCCATGATTGGCGGTGTCAGTCCAGTTGCTCTCCTGTGAACACTACATGGGTGCTGATGTTACGGACTGTGAGCCATCTCGCAAAGCATGCTGTGCTCATAGTTGGTTAAAATAGACAATGACAAGCAACTGTGCTTGTGTGATGTTGACTGACTAAGGCAGAGATTACATGAGCGACCACAGAACCATGTCTTCCTGCCAAGCGGCTCCACATTTTCTCGTGCTTATCAGAAATGACATCCTAAAGCACAGACCATGATGCAGGGTCACTCTACGTGCATGCTCAAATCTCTCAATCTCCGCGCATGCTCGACATGTTGTGCACAACACAGGTTTGTGTTTTGGAGGGTGCCCTTTTCCGGCTGGCCTAAAGGGAAGCCAAAGGGAAATCCAATTTTGGGATTCCCCTGTGTCGCTTACCCAAGTGCTCAAGGGATGTTCAAGGCTCCTCGGTGTATGTCCACTCTCCGCCCACCGGATGGCCGGGCACGCACTTGTCCTCAGATCTGCGGACTCACCCGGTAAGTCTCTTTGTGAAAGCCACGCAGCCGTTTTTCTATGTTTTTCTTGTCTCACTTGTGTGAGTCGCTATTTTGTACACTACCCAAAGCCAATGTAAAGACTCAAAAGGGTGGGGATCCGACCAATTTCTGACTCTCCCTTCCCCCTTCGCTTCAAATCTGTCCAGTGCCAACACACACACAAACGGATTGGAAGATTGTCGCCTTGGTCTGCGTTGTTTCAGTTGGGGGACAACTGTGCCACATTTTGAATCATCCCCTGTACCAAAACAAAGTGTGCCATCTACCTTCGCCCTCCAGTATGTCAGTGCCTCTTGAATTATGCGGGGTTGTGCTTTTGTAGGGTACCTCTTTCAGCTTGGCTTAAACAGAAACAAACATCAGTGTTGCAGCCAAGTGTCCACCCATCCATCCACCTGGCCAGGAAAGCCGTGCCGCTGAGCCATTCAAGTCTTACAGGTCATACCACTTTGACTTGCATGAGCGGCACATGTCCACGGGTGCCTCACATAAATCAAGCATAAATCATCGCAAAAAAAACAAAGAAACGAGAAGTCTATGTTTGCTTCCATTTGCTTAAGCCCCCTAAAAAGAAGAAGAAAAACAACAGTAGTGATAGATTCCTTTAAAACCAGCAAGGCAAAATAATAATACTCGTGACTCATAATAATAATAAATAAAAAAACAATATATATATATATATTCCTAAGCAAATGGTTGTTTGTGTCCAAGACAAGCCAGGGCCCTGAGAACAGCGTTTACACACAGTTCGGCACGAAAACGCAGCCAGGGAGCATTGACTCTGAAAGGCGCATGTACGTATACATACACGTGTATTTATATGTATAGATATATTTATATATATATATGGTAAGGCTTCAGTTGGGATCTGATGCTGACAACGGCGCACTAGCAAGTTGGACATTCTAGGACTGGCCATCCAAAGATTGTGTTGTGAGCCAAACAAATCATTCACGAGCTTTTCTGTGAAAAAGATGTGTACATATGGATGTGTCTTTGTTTGAGCGTACCCTTTGGTTGGTTTCAAAGAGAAACCTAAAGGAAAACCGCGCTTTTGGGGGTACCTTAACAAAAACAGACCCACCCATACAGGACACCATGCGACAAAGCAAGGAACCAACTATGGGAGCTATCACTTCCCACATCCGGTGAAGCTGCTTCATGCTCTCCAACACGCAAACCTCCGCACGTGGCCAACAACACGTGACGGCTGCACCACGACGCTGGGTCCGAAGCTATGATCATACTTCTCCTTAGCATCTCATCGACAAAATGACGACAAATGCCGACCCATTCGGCTGGGAACTGACAATCGAAAGCTGTCATGATCTGTCATGTAGGAACCGGCTTCAGGAAATTCTACATGGAAGTTGGCCCAACTCCTGATTTTGGTGTGTTCTTGGCTTAACTTGCTGTAGAACGTCCCGTAGCTTCTGAGAACTCAGCGCTAAAGACATCTGCTCCCAAGGTGCGTTGCGGGGATTGTAGGCGACTCCCTTGGCGAAGAATCTGTCGCCAGTAACCTCGCGCGGAGAGCCCCTTGGGCTGTTTTGACCGCGTCAACATGCGTCAACAATGCGGCGAACTTAAAGTGGGTGATTGTTGTTTCCTTCTCCCTTTGAACAAGCCCAAAATCAGCTTCCCTCTCATTGGTGGTTTGGATTGGTGGTTTGGTGGTTGGGGATTGGTTTCCCATCTACCCTCTACAAGAAGCAGAGATTCAAATCCCCAAACCACCAATCTCAACCACCTATGAAGGGTAATGTGACAAAAGAGGCACCCTGCACATGCACACACCCACGCACACACACACACAAAATAACAACAAAGCTTCGGCTGTTTGGGACCCTTAAATGGCTTGTTTCCGCTTTGTTTCGCTTAAACATCATCCAAAAGGGGGCCACCATTTTGAGGAACCCCCAGATATGTTTAGCGAGCCCCATGCTGTAGCTCCCATTTTGATCCGATAACTATTCTGCTTGAGCGCGTCCGATAAACTGCGATACATTGGGCAATCCTCTTCGAGGATTCCCGATAAGGGACAGAAGGGTATGCTGACTGACAGCACACGGCTCCCCAGAGGGGCCCTTCAAATGCAACTGTTGTTCGACGCTCATCCGGCTCACTGCAGGCAGTTTGCTGTGCCTGGCAAGGCACATGGCTTCTTTCCCGCGCAGAGCACAAGGTCCCCTCAAGACCAGGCCAAAGTGAAATGGGCAACGCTAAACGCACTCGCAATGTGAGGGTAAGTCACTCCTCCAACATGGGTTCGTCTCAAAAAGTTGGGTACCCGCCAAAAAATGGTTGGCTTCCTTTTGGGTTCCCACTAAAACCCGACCCAGAAAGGGTACTGAGCCACTGCCGTTTTTGGAGGGAACCCCCTTTCGCTAACCGTTTTAAAGGGAAGTCAAAAGGAAAACCAGTTAACCAGTTTGGGGTTCTCCGAGAAACAAAAAAAAGAAGGAAAAAACAACGGGGAAAAAAACAAAAAACGAAGAAGAACAAGATAAGCCCATGATTTCCACGTGCCTTGCCTGGGCATGTCGAATTCTTGACATAATCGGCGGCACTAAAGAGCTCCCATGAGCATTTAGGAAGGACTCTTAAGTCTTAATGAGTGCATATTTGGGTATGCATTTTAATAGGTTGCCCTTCTTTGACATCAAACTTCGGGAGATATGGCTCAATGGCCATTGGCTTCGTGTCGAGGCCTTGGTACCCTATGACACATTGCCAGCTCCACCTCGCTCGGTACCCGTTTTGGTGGTTTGAAGGGGCAGAAAAGACGGAACACCACAAAGACTATTGGGCCATTTTGCCACCCCGAATGTCTGATCTTCCAAACTTCTCTATACACCCGCTGCATGGCGGGCTCATCTACACCCCAAGACTCCCGGAAACGTGTTGCGCGCGTGGGCAGGTGAGCCTAGTGCAGATTCCAGGCCAACACCTCGGCATGGTGAAGTGTGCATCACTTGACGCTCCTTTCAAAGACCGCACATCAACGTCAAATGGATCTCTCTGGGATGGGTTCTGTGCAACTATACCTTTCGACAAAGTGACAAAAAAAACGGCAAACATGTCCATGAAATAGAGCTTGTTCATGCTAAGCGCACGTCTAAAAGTGATGTGTGCATATAAAAGCATATATATATATATATTCATGTTCCAGGGCGTGGACCCCTGTAAATAAATATATAATATATATGTATACATATGTACGTACGTACGAAGGTAGGTAGATAGGTAGGTAGATGGGGTAGGTATGGAGGTATTTGCATAGGCAGGTATGTATGTATTGTATCATTTCTGTCTGTCTGTGTCTCTGTCGGTGTCAGCGTCCGTGTCTGTGTCCGCGTCTGTGCCTGTGTCTGCGTCTGTGCCTGTGTCTGCGTCTGTGTCTGTGTCCTGTGTCCCGTGTCCCGTGTCTGTCTCTGTCTTTGTCTGTCCGTCTGTGTGTCTGTATGTCTGTATGTCTGTATGTCTGTATGTATGTATGTCTGTATGCCTGTATGTCTGTATGTATGTCTGTCTCTGTCTCTGTCTCTGTCTCTGTCTTTGTCTGTCCGTCTGTATGTCTGTATGTCTGTATGTCTGTCTGTCTCTGTCTCTGTCTCTGTCTCTGTCTCTGTCTCTGTCTCTGTCTGTCTTTGTCTGTCTGTATGTCTGTCTGTCTGTCTGTCTGTCTGTCTGTCTGTCTGTCTGTCTGTCTGTCTGTCTGTCTGTCTGTCTGTCTGTCTGTCTGTCTGTCTGTCTGTCTGTCTGTCTGTCTGTCTGTCTGTCTGTCTGTCTGTCTGTCTGTCTGTCTGTCTGTCTGTCTCTGTCTGTCTGTCTGTCTGTCTGTCTGTCTGTCTGTCTGTCTGTCTGTCTGTCTGTCTGTCTGTCTGTCTGTCTGTCTGTCTGTCTGTCTGTCTGTCTGTCTGTCTGTCTGTCTGTCTGTCTGTCTGTCTGTCTGTCTGTCTGTCTGTCTGTCTGTCTGTCTGTCTGTCTGTCTGTCTGTCTGTCTGTCTGTCTGTCTGTCTGTCTGTCTGTCTGTCTGTCTGTCTGTCTGTCTGTCTGTCTGTCTGTCTGTCTGTCTGTCTGTCTGTCTGTCTGTCTGTCTGTCTGTCTGTCTGTCTGTCTGTCTGTCTGTCTGTCTGTCTGTCTGTCTGTCTGTCTGTCTGTCTGTCTGTCTGTCTGTCTGTCTGTCTGTCTGTCTGTCTGTCTGTCTGTCTGTCTGTCTGTCTGTCTGTCTGTCTGTCTCTGTCTGTCTCTGTCTGACGCGCTCGTGTATGTATGTATGTATGTATGTATGTATGTATGTATGTATGTATGTATGTATGTATGTATGTATGTATGTATGTATGTATGTATGTATGTATGTATGTATGTATGTATGTATGTATGTATGTGTATGTATGTATGTATGTATGTATGTATGTATGTATGTATGTATGTATGTATGTATGTATGTATGTATGTATGTATGTATGTATGTATGTATGTATGTATGTATGTATGTATGTATGTATGTATGTATGTATGTATGTATGTATGTATGTATGTATGTATGTATGTATGTATGTATGTATGTATGTATGTATGTATGTATGTATGTATGTATGTATCTAGGTATGTTTGTATGTTTGTATGTTGGTATGTTTGTATGTGTGTATATGTGTATGTGTGTATGTGTGCATGTGTGTATGTTTGTATGTGTGATGTTTGTGCGTTTGTTTGTCTGTTTGTTTGATTGTTTGTTTGTTTGTTTGTTTGTATGTGTGTGTGTGTGCGCGCGCCAAAAGTTGTGTAAACATGCGCATCTATGTATATTACATATATATATGCATATTATGCTATATAATATGTATATATAATATAATAGATCATGCACATTTCGTGCAGCGTTGTCAACCCCATTCCCCCCTTGTGGTCCGGTGGTGGGGTTGTGGTGGCTCACACGCTGGCTGGTTTAGGGGCTTAGGCTTAGTTTAGGGTTGGTTGGGGTTGATTTAGAGTGGGTTTAGGCTTGGTTGATTTAGGGTGGACTGTATGTAGTACTGCATGTACTGTTTGTGCTGGCACTGTACATGCTGTAGGGCGGGCTCTGGGATCGCCGGGTGTTTCTTTCACATAGGGTTAAATAACCCCCTGCAACTTGGCAAGGAAGCGGACAAGGAAGTCCCGCAAACGCAGATTCTTCTGGAAATAACAGTTGTCAATTTCATGTCAATCTGCCGGTGAGTAATCCCCCAGTTTATGATTGGGCGGGTATCCCATTTTACATATTCTAGACTTCTTGCGGGAACACCTTCAGTCCACCATCTAGCTGGGGTCAACAATAAGCCATGTTCAAAAGGCAGCTGTTCTCGTCGAGACACGAGTGCCAAAGCGGCTGCTCCAACTCCTTGTCTTGCTCCTGGGGTCAATGGCAAAAAGCCGGGTGTTAACCTCTTCCCAGGAAGGCCGAAAACCACAACAGTGCTTCAGGATTCTGGCATGGTCTCTGCAAGAACAGGACCTAGCACTCCCTTGCTGATGAAGCAACCAGCTGGGGCTAGAACAAGGCCGGGCGAGCACATCACAGGTTTCCATCTTCCGCCAAGCTCTCAGCATCACAACCAGTGTGAGAAAACCCAAGTCTTTCTAGGGGTTGATTCCCCATTCTGTTCAACAATCGTTCTTTTCAAAAACGGATCCCTGGAAAGAATGGGGAAGGTACCCCTAGAGTCTTGGCGAGAAACCGAAAGGTTTGACGCACCAGTGGCCCCGTTTGGGGATCCGCAAAATCACCTGGTGCTCTTCTCCTGCGTCCATCATGTAGCAGGCCGTCGTGCTGTCACCCCTCGGCGTCGGGAAAGTGAGCCCAGGAGAAAGACAAATCGATGGCCATGGGCTTTTCAAAAGCCATAGCCCGTAGCCCCGGTGAACATCCCAATCCAACCACTAAAATAGACTAAAATGGTTCGTGAATTCACCTACCCCAAAATGGTACCATTGTGTACCATTGGTTTTGACCCACAGCCATACGAACCAAGGATACACTCAAAAAGCAGACACCCACTCATACCCTTTTGTCTCACGGTTGAATTGTCCATTCTCTTCACCCATCGTTCTCTTGAGAAACCGGAGAATTTCCTGATTTGGACCACTTTCTGACGAGAAGGATCCAAGAAGAGAATGAGGAAGGACCGGCCGGACAACTGGACCCACTACAGTAGTTGTTGTGTTGTTTTTCCCATGGCTTCTGCAAAGCAACAGTTTGGACCGTCCGCAGTTATATCAGTTCCTCATGTCAACGTGGTGTCTGATGCTAAATACACATGTCTCACCTGGGAGTTACTACGCAATCTCAGGCAGAAGTCTCCCAAAGTGCGCTCAACCACCTCTGTTTGTGAACCCACTTGTGATTCTATGCGCTCAAGCTGACTGCGCCTAAGTGCAGACCAATTCGCTTGCAGTAGCCGATCGCGCTGGTAGCGTTCTGCCTCACCTCAAACGCATGGTGAAACGACAGTCTCAACGAGCGCAGCGTCTCACTCTCCGCGTTCTTTGAAAATAGTAGTCCCCTAAAATTGTTGGCTCCTGTTGGCTTTCCTTTAAATACCAACCACATGGGTTTGCCAGTCTGAGAAACTCTCATTTCAGGCTATTCATCACTCAAGCTCTGGCATCTACGCCAGGGAAAGGAAAAACAAGGGCCTTCCAATCATGCCGAGGAAGAAAGATTGCATGGCCAACAATATGCCAGGCAAACAACTTGCAGACCTTACCCTTTGAACCTTGCCAAATGGCCACATGCGATTGATGCAGTCCTGGCAAACGAAGCATTTCCGCCGCCCTCTTTCATGCGGGGGATTGTCAACATTTGGGGTCCAACTGTTGATATCGCCTTTTCAAGGCGGAAAACAGATCGGGTCAACAAGGACCCGGCGCGCCGTCTTTGACTTGTCCCCCATGCGGCTTGGGTACGCAATTGCAGGCGTAGGGATAATCATCGGAGATCGTGAAGACCACGGTGCTGTAGATCCTGGAAGCCAGACAGTGCAAAGAACAGGCGTGCTCACCGACGTCTGGGTAAAAGGCGTCATCCCATTTTTTCTAATCCGTCCGTAGTGAGATACCATAACAATGGAAAGCATGGGTTCAAAATTATTACGTCAAATGGTAGTGCACTACCATCTAGCGTATTGATATTTAAACCAGATTGCGAGCGCCAGTTCACGCGCCTTGGAAATTGACAGCTTGGCTGTAAATGTTGGGTCTGGTCTATTGAAACATGTGTCTTCTTCAAAATCCCAAAACACTGGCCTTATTTGTTGGTTGATTTGATAGGACGCCCGGAAGAAGAACGTTGTTGGCCGAGTTGAACGGGAAACCCATCCCGCAAAAAAAGAAAAGCTGCACCCAATCGGCCGGACTCCACTGGCTAACTGTGACACGACCCCTGCCCTGAGATACCAACGAGAGGCGTTGCCGAATTCAAAGGCTTAGTCCATGATTAGAGTTAGGCCCAGTCGTAGAATGTATACTCACTTGCCCAAAGGACCTGTTTATAGAAGGTTAACCTTTTGGGACCTCTACTAAAAATATATTAAGAAGGGAAAACCAAAAGGTCAAAAGGTCGGCTTTGAAAAACTGAGTATTTTAGTGTTTTCTTCGCTTTGGGTCACTGGTAGCATGTAAACTGTATCCCAAGTCCACCCCAGAGTCTGGCTTGACGATTCTTTGCCAAGATGCCCAGTGGCCGAGGTCGCACCGTCCGGAGTGGAGACCGCCTACGCGGTGAATGGCTTCTATTTGGAGTCGTCAAAATGGGGTTTGGAGCCGCCCATGCCGCCGGATATGGAATCCAAAGCCAGGCGGCTTTGGCGCTTTGCCAGCTGGCTGCTTTGCGTTGCATCGCCCTGAAAAGTAAAGATGCTCCTTTTTGTTGTGTAGTACGCGTCTACCCCGCTGTCCAGCCAAGGGCAAAACAGAATTATTGCAAATGGTGCCATCCTACTTGAGAAAGCTACACCCACGTAAACACGGTGGATGACAAAAATACAGAAGACGTGACATGTCAGCTCCGCATCAATGAGCTTGTCTTCTTGTCCCATGTTCTTCTTCCAGTGGAGACCCAACACCCTCACTTGAGCGGCGCTCAAAACCCGCGGTTGGTTCTACCGAAATGGTTGAGCAGGTTTACAAGAAGGTTGGGCGCCGCTGATTTGAATAAACCTGCATGTAATGCAGACAAAATAAACATTTCACTGGGTTGAAGCGCTGACTTTGTAAGAACTTTCCACCGGAAAGTGGGCCTTTTTGTCCAAGCCCAAGCCCGTTGTTCGACCTCCATTCTTTTGGATGACACCAGTAACTTGGCACGTATGATATGTACGTCGCAAAGGAGAAAAAAAAAAAAAAACAAGAAAAAACACAAAAAACAACAAGAAAAACAACAGGCATCAAAACAGCCGATCCAAATTCACGTAGACACTACAAGACCGGCTGGGGCTAGACATCTTCCAACTCTTCGGGTTTCGGTTATCCATCTGAATCTTGGTCTCATCATTAATTTGGGAACCCAAAATCAAGGACCCCTCCAGGTCTGCCCTGTGCTTTCCCTTTACCATGGTCCTTTCAGGTTCCGTGGAACATCTGAAGGATTCCAACTGCGCGGAACCGTTCAACGAATCGGAGCTCGGGCCGACGATTTCCTCCACGAGATCCCCGAAGCTGTAGTCGAAGCTACTGCCAAGCCTGCGGACCGCTCGGAAGTTGCATTGGTCTATGGGGGATCCCACCGGGTTCTAACCAATGGGTTCCAGCATGCTATATATGACTTTTTCTGTCACCTGTTTTGGGTCCCCTTACTTCCATTCATCCCATTGGTGCCATTACCTTCATCCAAAATCATTCACCGATGTTTGCTCCTTTGGACGCGCTGAGCTTTGGTTGCCGTATGACATCATTCGCGACAGAAACCCCCCTTTCGGGGTGTTCCTCCTTCGATTTTCCGTCACACCCCCACAAAGCTGAGCGAATTGGAATGCGTTTGATTTCAGCGAACGTACTGAACAGTGAGAGACACAAACGCAAACGGCTGCATGCAATTGGCTGCATACCATGCCTTCGAAATGACTGAAGCTTTGGTTGGGGCTTTCTGCAGCAAAGACCCACATGGCCATGATCAAAACTTCTATGGGCCATAGTCAGTCATGGTTCCCTGAGCTTCTGTAAAAAGACAAGTTCCTCTGCATGGGCCAGAGTCATGGTTTCCTGGGGTACCTTTAAAAAATGATTGGCTAGATCCCGGCTGTTTAAAGGAACCATCATCGTCCCTACTAAACCACCCATTCATCCCTAACCAAAGTAAGTAGTTTGCTATGGCTGTGTCCCCCACTGCAGAAGTTGCATTTCCTGAGACTATGTTGCGAGTGTCCCCCATGTTCTGCCGTCGATTTACAGCAGACAGTGACCGATGCGCTGCATCTCATGATATTGATAAACATTTCCAGACCTTGCATAGCCAGTGTCAAGTTTATTTAAGGCACTGGACAGCAAACTCAGAGTCCCGTAACTATGGACAAGGTCTCAAAGGATCTAGCGGGCAAAATATCCTTTCGAGACCTCGTAGTCATTTCTGCTGTACTTGGCACCCCCCTGTCAAGGCAATGAAGCGGCGTCAAGCAACTCATGGCTTGGACCCCGAAGGAGGAAACGCAGGATCTCGCTGACCCCTCAACACTTGACATACTTGACCTGTGGTTAGAATAAAACAATCGGGCCCAACTCACCCCGCTTTTGTACTCGCGGAAAAATATATGATGCAGCCTTTGGGAGGCTTGCCAACTCTGTTTCATGACCAACGTTCCCAATAATCACTTCCCCCGCAGGTTTAGTGGGATCCACTGCCATACAGGTACTTGGAGCGCCGTTTTCTGTCCCGGTCCTGGCGAGGGTAGTCATATTAGGAACTCCGGCGCCCAAAATCCATTCACCTTTGGTTCTACCAACACGCTTGTACATCACTTATGGTTCGTATAGCTTGTTGTAGCCCCTCGCAAACCAGTAGAATCACCTATGGCCAAAAGGAAGGGGTTTGGGGATTGCAGTGTGGGCGCTCCTGAACACTTGCAGCAGCAGCAGGAACCGGAACATGAGGTGCCTCAGATCCAGCTGCAACGAACTGGGGAGGCCCTATTTTTGGAGCACAAGGTGGACTTCAACCCAAACAATTGGCTCAACGCAACAAGAAATCCTTTGGTGCAAGTCTGCCTTGGAAGCAAGAGAAAAGGTCTTTCCTGCGCCACAATACTTGCCTTGCAAGTGCCAATGTGGAATTCTTCGCCACGAACTGGTCATCTCCGACGTTTTTTTGTTTTTTGCCGGGCGTGGCACACCAAGCCTGGTGGCACCCTGTTTATGCCTTATGCGTGAATGGTGCAACAGTGGTGAGACATGGCCGCGGCCATGTAAAGAAAGCACAAAGCACGATGACTTACTTTGGACCTCCTGCCTTTGTGCAGAGTTTCCGTTTCAGCCCTTCCGGCTCCCAAATCGAGAAGACTTCTGGCGCTGACATGTCAGGTACTTCACACTCAGACACTCAGATCCCGCCCCTTGCTGCGAGCTGCATCAGCTGCAGGCTGGAAATCTGGCAATGGGCTCCAGCCAAGTGCTTTGACCGGATTTGACCGGATGTGCAGTCCGATGCTTTGAAGATGCACATGCGTTGCTGGCAACCGGGTCTGCCATCATCTCTCTCTATAAGCCACAGGCGGCGGCTGAGACATGGCTCCAACTAAAATGCCATGGAGGTTGCGGCGCAGACTCCAAGCAACGAAGTTGGCCAGGTGCCATGTCTGATCAAAAGTCCTGGGTGGATCCATGTCTTAGGATTTCTGGTCAAAGGATCCCTTTCCTTGGTCTCCATCCCTCTTTTTTCTCACAAAGGGGCGGTTTGACCATGGCACATTTCAAGCACCTCAAGTCAGACTGGCTTGGCTCGCGCACTCTCTAGTCTGTTCTGCCAGTCACTTCGACCAAGCAACGGAATCGTACAGGAAGTTCCCGCGAACAATGATGGGATTCACGGTCCTGAGTCCGCTCAGCACGTCGAAACTGAGTCTTGCCAGCCATTCTAAAAAAGATGGCAGATTTCGTATCGCTGATGAGTTTGCGCGCTCGCCATGTGTTTGCTGCATAAAGACGAAAAGCAAGTGTATGGAACCGAAACGGCTGTGCCTCAAACACAGTGTCCTCCCCCCTCTCCCAAAACAAGAAGATTTAAACAAAAACAGAGTTTCCAACAACAGAAGGAACCAATCTGGTGTCTTCCGCGTTTTTCATTTCAGCCACCAGACTTATTTTTCGGCCAAGTGTCCGAACCGTCTCTGGGCGTGGCAATGGCGGCCTCGAAGGCAACGGTGCCATGGTCCTCAGCTGAAATGCCAGTGGCCTATGGCACTGCCCAGGGTGGACCTGGAAATCAAAGGTCGAGCTTTTGGGGCCATGCCTTCGACTGGCGCGCAGGTTCGAGCGAGACGCCGCACGTGGAGTGGTGCCACCCCACACATCTTAGGGAGAGCAGGCAATCCCAACACAGAAGAGCTTTTGGGGCCATGACTAAAAATGGGAACCCAAAATGGGAAAAAGGTCAAAAAGTTGGTTTGCTTTGGACAAGGGAGGCAAACCCTGGAAGGACTAGAACATCCAACTTGCCATCGGGTTTAATTAGGGCTCTAGTAATTGGGTTTAATTGGGGCTCTAGTAAGACCTATTTCAGTTTTACAAACCAACTTAAGCTGGGTCCAGCTTTGGCATGCCAAAGTGACGCATACCCTCCCTTGTCGGATTCAGCCAGAGCAGCGGGCCGTCATGGGGCGTGTTGGGCTCCTAAGGCGCAATGCAAAAGCCTGCAAGCTGCAGATTAGCACACAAAACCAGCGGTAGCTTGGCAATATGCCGAACAAACCCGGCAAGGCATCTAGCAACTCATCACCACTGGCAGTGTCCCTTCTAGCTCCTCTGCATGCTGATCCTGCTCGTCAGCATCCGAAGCCTCATCCTTGCAATTCAGCTCGTGGAGGTTGCCGGTGGCTGTTATTTACCACAAGGGATTGAAACCCCCGACCAATGCAAACCTTGTGCGGCTGAAGATTGCCCTTCAAGGATGCCACGTATACTAAGGAATTCCATCCCTGAGTCAACCATTTCCTGGTTTGCGGTCGAATTGAAATCTGGCAAAAGGACGAATCACTCAGCTGTCGCCTCATGCTCCTCTGCCTCATCATCCTCATCTGCCTCGCAGTTGCCCAAAGGACCCCGAAAAAACAGGGCTTCACCAAAAAAGAACCGAAAAGGCGCTTTGGGCAAGCGAGGCCTCCTCATGATCTGGCACCGTATTCATGATGTCGTCCTCCGATGGCAGCTCCTCGGAGCAAAACACATCCATGGCAGCCAGCTAGCGCGAGACAGATGCAAGCTGCTCCCCATGCGACGGGCTGGACAAATTTGGAATCCCCAAATGGGTTGCCCTCAATGGAAACCAAAAACTAAAACCTGCGCCCTGGGTCTTTCATTTTCAGAAAGCCACACCCACATTTTCGGAGCCGAGGTCCAAATTAAGAATGTTTTGCCGGGACATGGGAGAATGAGCGAGTCCCCTGGTTTTGCATTGTCCCTCCCAAATAAACCATGGACTTCCGGATATGCTGACCCAACCTACCTCCAGTCTGGCTCTTCTGGGCTAGCCGCCGCAAAGAACTGACAGGAGGGGTGCTCTCACCCACTCGAAAGCGCCAAGGATCTCCGACCCCCGCGTCGAAGCCGGGGATTTGCCTTTGCCTGGCGAGCTTCGATCATTAACGCAACTTTCAGGTTTCAAGCCGGAGAGAGAGGCGTTGATACATGGGGGTTGATCAAAATGTCCGTGATATATTGGGCTGGAAACCACAAAAACAATGACAATTGCCACTGGGAAAAGGCTGGCCTTGGTCATTGGGGGGCCAGGAGTATTGATCAAGCCCCACATATTAACACAGTAACATCAATGAACATCGAGGGGTCGTATACGATCTTGTATGTGGCACATGGCCAATATGCATCTCTGACATGAAACAAACCATGCCCACTGAATGCACTCTCCAAAGAGCACCTTGAATCATAACATCGTGGACGAACCGAACAGCCGGGGTGTCTTCATGGGTCAAAAGTTTTGCCCACTGGTGAGCTCCAAATTTTCCCAACAAGGGCAAAGCATCAAGCCGGCCGTAGCTATCTCGGGCTGGGGACCTACCTTCCTCCGCCCCGGTTTTGATCACCCGCCTCGCAGCGCGTCGCTGCAGCGCTTCCAAAGCACACTGCTCCGATGCGCACTCGTTGTCCTGCCGAAAGGAAGCAAAACCAATCCTTCAAATAGGTAGGCGTCAAAGAGTGACTACCAGGACCCAGCGGCTGGCAAATAACCCCAGCCATTGGGAGGTCATTCCACATACCATTTGCGAGCCATTGGGGGGTCCTGGTACACAAATGGTGGTTTCCATTTGAGCTGCCTTTTGAACCATCCTGGCAAGGGCGCTCTCGAAAGGCAGACAAGGTTCTCACAATAGGTGACCACAAAAAGATGGGTGGTGCCCTGTTCCTTCCCTTCAGGCACCAACCAGACCACCATTTTGAGAAACCCTGTGGTTTTCGTATTTTTGCCAGCACCTGCAACTTCAATTGCTGGTTTCCCAATTCAGGGCATGGACAATCGGGTGGTCTGAACCCCTGGTTGTTATTGAATTATAACTATACCAATCATGTTGTCAGTTGCTCACATGAATCTGTGGGTTCGTCTCACGGGGATCCCAGAAATGGTTCTGGCTTCTCTTTGGATTCCTTAGCGCATGTCGCAGTCTGCAGTCTGCAGCTACTCTGTGCCAGCAACGAGAGTAGTGATGCCACGATCAATTGAACTTGGCAATATCCGCCGTATGAATTATTGCTCTAGGTATATGTCAACTTGGGATTTGGTTCTCCTCTTGGGGTTCCGTTGAGCCCAACCTGCAAATCACAAAACCAACCCATTCGGAACACGGCCTCGGATCTGAGAGGCAGAAGCAATGCTGGGAAACCCATGCTGTTGCCCTATGGCTGGGGCAAGCCCGCACGAGTGTGCAGAGACAGCAGGCAAAAAAGCCTTCATACTCTGCGTTGCGCTCCCCCTCTGATTCAAACGGTCTAACCGTTTGCAGGTTTATCGGAAACCCATTTGTTTCAATGATGGTCTCAGCAGCGATTCAGTCACGGGTTTCTAGGGTGCTCATGTTCCTTTCTTGAACATCACTTCACCACTATAGGGATCTCGCTTTTGGCCTAGGTGATGTTGGAACCACAAACGGGGACATCAAAAAAAACCGGGCGATATCATTTGGACGTGAGTTTCAATCGGTGACTCTCCGGGTTCATCATGTGATCCATATCCATCAACCGCTTTCAAGGCGGTGCCCTGCCAAAAAAGAAAAAAAAAAGAAAAAGAAGAGGAAACAAATAAAAGCAGAAGAAGACAGCAAGAGAAACAAACAGAAAATAAATAATAATAATAAAAATCAGAAAACAACAACTATGTATCCTTTCGGCGGCGTGCAACGCGCCTCCTCCAAGTGTTGTTCCAAGGCCGAGACGGCCGCAGCCAGCGCCAACAGGCGGAGGACCTGAGAATCCATCCGCTCCCGAGGAGACTGGCCGTGAGCTGACGAAACAAACCTGAGGTCCTCCCCATTTTGGCTGGTAGGTTCACCACCCATTTTAGGCTTCCTATTTTGGTGGGGGATTGGGATGTTCACTGGGGGTACGATTTGGATTTTGACCCATGGCCAGGTTAGAATAAGGGTACCCTTTTTCTGCAGCCTATTTTAGTATAGCTGTAGTCACAACTAAAACGACCTGCGAACAGTGAGAACTTGTCGGTGTCCCGTTGATCCCTAGGGAACAAAATTTTGTCGTACCTCCCAACAGTACAAAGTCTCAGAGTCTGAGGGCGGGAGCCAGGTTCAAGGGCAAGTGAAGGCAAAGAGGTTTGGTGTTCCTCCGTTTAAACTATACAAAAGAGACACCAACTCAAAAAAGAGACACACCCAAAGGGCAAAATGGGATTCCGTCCTGCATCCACAAGAAGTGCGCAAAGGTATTGTAGGCATGTGCTAGAGGGTCAATTCCGCAGCAGTATGATGATGCCTCTAACCACATGACCAACGTTCGTTTCCCGCTGACGTCTGGTCACCACTCACATCAGCTGCTATTTCACTGTGGGCTTGTGAACACCATCAATCTCCAACTGGCCTAAAAGTTTATGTGTGGTTTGTGCATGGAACTCAACCGCGAAAACCAAGTCCGAGCATGGGAACAAAAATGGACAAGCGGGCTACCTTTGCCTCCATTCTGTCGAAGCAACAAATGGTGCAACGTTGTTCCAGACCCGCTTCGTGGCCTTCCGTACCTGCACACATCCAAAAAAGCTGTGTTTGGGCCGATTGAATGGGTTCCAACTTCAATGTTCCAAGCGGGCGGGTTCCACACATTGTTTGGCGATCGGAATCCGAGCTACCATCATCTGAGATCCTGTGTGTCTTGAAAAGCACAACGAGCCAGCGTTGCTGCCAAACGGGGCATCACCGCCAAAGCTTCCCTTATCGTACTGGGTGGCCCAGATCTATAAAAGTTTGAGCTTCCCGAATGCGTCGACTAGCCTTGCCAAGCCACAGTCATGGTTTACGGAAGCGCTTTGACTTGAGAGATGTGAAAAGCTACGGGCGAGCGAAGACATGCCGAATCTCAAATGGTCGAGTCCAAAAGTGCTTGCCTCAGTTTGCCGATTGCAGCGCATCATGGCCCAGGATTGCCAAAAAATAAAGGAAACACTCTCATCGACCCCTTCATACTCCACCAGATCGATGAACCCAAGGTCGCATTTGTGAGAGTAATTTGTCGACTCAAGTGGGTTCTAAGAAAAGGTTTCTAGGATGCTATTCACATGACTGTCCTGTGTTGCAAGCGATCGGCGGGTCCCCCCAATCGAATCAACATGGCAGGTGAAGCCTCCAGAAGCTCCACAACATCCTGTTGAGTCCCATTCTCAGGCAAACGCAACTCATCATGTCCGAGCCATGCCGAGCCATGCGAGCGGTCATCATACTAGCTCTCGTTTTGGAAGTCGAGCCACTGGACTCAAACCCTCAAAGCCACCCAACAAAGGGTACCCACACATCCTGACTGAACCTTGCGCCTTTTCCGGTGGCTGGGTACAAGGCCCAGAGAGCGAAACCTGCGGGCTGCTGGCAATGCAGTTTGAGTCACCCAGAAATGTCGATTGGCATCTCAACGGCAAGCGATTGGTGTCCAGTGACTTCAACTGTGGAAATGGTGTAACAACAGGTTAGCCGCAGGAAGGAAAGGTGTGCCATGGATGGGGAGCGTATGTTGATTCGGGACATGCATGGCATGTTTCACCTCGGTATTGAGGAACTGAACCACATGCATTTGAACATGCATTCTGACATTTCAACATGCAACTTCCGCGCAAGTGGTGTGGCTGGAGCCATGGTTGTAGTGATGCGTGCACGATTGAAAGAGGATGTATGTGGTTTGTTCGCCAACGCATTTGCAAACATCTCTTTCACATCGCACAGCTTGAAGTGAGTCGCTGCGTCCTCCCCGTTCGCCTTCTGGGCCTCAGCAAAGCTGATCCATTCTTCGGCATCCTTTGGGCGGCCGGCTTCTGCGATCGCCTTCGCGCACTTGCCCGACCCTCCGATCCAACAAACCCGCCCCGCCCTTGCCAGCAAACGAACCTTTTCCCTGGAGCTTGGGGTCGAACTGGGAGCTTGGGGAAGGTGGGTTTGCGAAGGGACATCATGTGCTGACAAGCATACCAGAACTTAAGTGAACGAATATCCAGTACCAATTTCAAGTCAAAATAAGGGGAATTCTCAAAATTAAGGTCCCAGTGGTCCCTACAATGGTTGGTGGCTTCTTGGTTTTCCTTCAAATTACCAACCACAAGGGTCGAGCAGTACAGCAGCGATTGATGGCAATGAGTGGCCTGATCCCGAAGTAGGAAAACCATGCTTTGTGCTAAATTACAAACATTGACTTAATTCCAAATCCAAAAATGCGCGGACACAAATTATGTGTTTTCTCAACAGGACATGCAAAACGAGGTTCTTGTTGGAAGTTTGGTTTGGGTCCCCCATATCCTCCCAAATAAACGATAAACTACATACTACGACATGGCTCCATTTAGGCAACATGCAAACAGGCAACTTGTCAACCCATTGCCTGTTTGACTTACTCAAAGTCTCCAGCTCAACGTCAGGGCGCGAAGTCATGCTCTTCTTTTTCATTTTTTTCTTGCGGAGCCTTTCTGATCTCGCTTAGCTGGAGTGTTGCTTCGTCTAGTCCTCGAATGGGAAGCTTCCAACTGGCCACTGCCAACCACAGTGTGTCCCGCTACGAACAGGGTTCCGGGAGAGGGATACATCCGACCAAGCCACCCGTGCAAGAACCACAAGTTTCCCTATATTTGTCTGGTTTTCAGGTGTTTGACTGGCAGGTCTCCTTCTCAGTTGCCCAGTTCGGACCCAGCAAAAAACGGTTTTATCTTTTGGGTTGCCGCCAAAAACATGGAAAAGCAAAGAAGGGGGAAGCAAACCAAAGATATCAAAAGGTCGATTCACTTGCCTATCGAGCCTAGCTCTCAATCCCCCCCGGCCTTCAATACTTGCTTGTAGGCTGGAGGAGGCGCGCTGCCTGAGGCAATTCCGCCCACTTCCCTCCCAACTAACCAAAGTCTTCCACGAGTTTGGACCGTACCTCACATCTCGGGTTCTTCCGCACAAACATTTCCGGCAAACCGCCAGGGCGAGAAGGCCAAGCCTTTAAGTAACTTTGTCCTCCAAACGGATGCTACACACATGGTCATGGGTCAAAAGCCCGTACCCCCGAGTGAACATCCCACTCCCCACTAAAATAGGTTCTAACATGCGTGCTGCACCTACCCCAAAATGGGATCCCAAAACGGTTTTGACCACCACAGCCACATGACTGACAATGACTTTTGTCCTTGGTGCAAGTGATCCGAACCCCTTCATTGCACCCCGGCTCCACGGCTCCCTCTCGCAGGTGCAATGATTAATCTGACAGCGAGACCGAAAACTACCAGCCCAATCTGAGCCGAAGGCGTCAAAAGAGCAAAAGTTGATCACTGGCAAAGAGAAAGGAAAGGAATACCAACTTGCTACCCTCTTTTTGGTCATTGTGAGGTTCTGTATGCACAGAGCAAAGACACTTCTCCCTTTAAGCCTTCGTGGAAAATCCGGCCTGCGTCGGCCAGCTTCTGAAATTCATTCTTCACACTAGAGATGTCACCTTTTTTGACGTATCTCTGCAGAATAGTGGCAAGCTCGTCCTGACGCACCAAGTCGCAAGAGAGTGCAAATGTGTGTCGTGACAAAGAGTTCCTCCAGATTCCAAGGCGCTTTGAATCTGGAAGCCGCTGCAGTCGCTTCTGAATCTGCAACATGAGTCCCGAAGCCATGTACCGACGATGGTGCTTCTTGGGCTTGCCAATGTGTTGGTCAAAAACAGGATCGCAGAACGATACGAGCCAACTCCTGCCGCACTGCCCCACTGCCCCACTGCCCGCAGAACGATAGGCACCGAAAGTTTCGCACTGCCCCACTGCCCGTCCTTGCTAAACTGCTCAGCAGGCCTGCGCAAGTGGCGTCATTGGACTCGCCTTGCCCCTTTGCTGGATTGGTGGTTTGGAGAAGTTCCGGGGTCCTCGGCCCCCATTTACACCCTCCAGGATCAGGGCTTCAAATCCCCCAAAGCACCAAAGCACCAATTGAGGAGTACCTAAGGGACTGACTTTCGAACAACACCGATGGGAGCACAGCCCAAGTTCCCGTGAAACGGCAAGCACACCCTGCAAACTCCCTGCTCTTCAGCAACAAGGTGGTGACCGCGGCCAACTGGGTACGGAAGTTCATCAAATGTTTTTCGGCTTTCTTTTGCCTTCCCTGTCCCTAGAAATACCCACTTGGCCATGGTTCAACACCAATGGCACCATTTTCGGATAGGTGCCCCACCCATGTTAGTCTATTTTAGTGGGGATTGGGATGTTGACTGGGGTACGGGGTTTTGACCCATGGCCACTTGACTTTCGCCGAATCTCTTCGCCTCTCTTTGGTCTCCACAGCCGTCGCGCGCTGCCGTGTCGGCCAGGAGCTACTGTGCATGCCACCAGTGAGCATGCGGCATGCTGATGCTGGTTAGTCTGATGGTAGGGTCGCTTCGAATCTTCGTTTACTGACCGGAACGCCATCCCAAAGGTGACTGTCGAGCACTGATTTCCCCCTTTTTCCGGGCCTTTGGTGACGATATCAATTCGTCCGCTTTCATGGAAAGTCTTGAAAAATGGTGGCTTGACATTCGCAAACGCAGTGCTCAAAACCTGCACAACTTCCTCACTCGGTGGTCCTTCTGGCATTCAAACCGCAGAAGGCGTGGCCTCAGGAAAAGGTCAAGCTCGCAGCAGCTGGGTTCGCAATCCATTCCCTGCGCGGGTATTCGCTATGGGTCAAAACCCCCGTACCCCCAGTGAACATCCCAATCCCCAAAATGGTACTATTGGTGTTGACCCATGGCCATGTGTCAAAGGGGCCCAAAGATTTCGTCCATATTCTTCTTTCAGCTATGTAATCGGGTATCACAGCCCTTGACCACTGAAAGCCGGTAGAATTCAGGCTGAGATCTGCACCCCACGCAAAGACTGCAATGGCACACAGCCTCCATACCTTGGAATTGGGCGGCACACCACGGGCTGCCGGAGCTTCTTGCCGGCAAAAAAAAGCCATCGTGTGTGTAGGCAAATGTGCTGCTTCTCCAGACCGAATATTGATGTTTCCAAACGATGCGGAAATGGAGAAAGATATATAGTTTGATGGTGCAGCTACTGTGTCTCCTACTGAACTGATTGCTGATATCACTGAGTATTCCATCATGTGCAAATAAACTTGCAAATTCTACATCTCCGAAACCTGAAATAAGCGGTCTGGATCACGGAAAGCCACATGGCTTTCGATTGACAACAGGCAATGATGGCATGCCAATCAGTTGGCTTACGGCATGGCTCGCTGGATCTGAGACCCAAACCGCTCGAGCTCGCTGCTTTGCCATGAGATTAAATTGGAACAGGCCGTGGCACGGCCAAGGAAACACGGGAAGCCAAAGGGCTTCGTGCCCAAGGGAAGGGAACTTTGAGACATCCTTTCCGTGATTCTCCACATGCCTTCAACGTGCAGCTGCAGTGGCTGTGAGGAATGAACTTGTTGGATGCTTGGCCGCTGGCCGCTATTCGCATGTCCGTTGAACAGTGCGCACAGTTTGGTGACTGCCACCATACTCATCCAAACTCCCTGGATCCGAAGGTCAGGCGAGACTCATCGGTTTCCTCCATGCAAATCCCATGAAAACACGCGGCGCCTATGTCATTGTGTTGCAGCCATGCTGCCAGAAAGGTACGGCGCCTTCCACAAACCACAAATAAAGTATCAAAGTAGGAACACTCATGACAAGCTAAAATTCATGAGTCCTCACAAAGCAGGACTCTAAGGCATCATATGCTGGGTGCTTTCAAAATAGGGGCTCTTGAAAAAGGGTCGCGTCTTTTTGGTGTCCCCTTTGCAACAATACCAAAGTGGGTGCGCCATTGTAAAACTGCCATATCAAAGCAGTCATTGTGAAGCAGCGGCCAACCGCTCTTCCTGAGCCACGACGGAACACCTAGCGCCAGTTCTTCTGAGCAAATAGTCATTGCATCCGAAAAGCCGCGACATGGAGGGAGCCGACGTGTCTCCCATTCAGCTGTATGGCACTCGTTTTGGGTATGGGTCAAAACACGGCGGCACCAAACGTGTCGGTGTCCCTTAAAAGCAAGGGGAAGAGGGTGTTCTTAAACAAACAAGCAAAAAGCGCCCTTTTAAAGCCTCCGCAATGTCAGTCAACAAGCTAAAGCTTGTGCATGCATCGCCAAGCCCTCACCTGCTGAGCCAGCTAAATGTGGGCTCAAGTTCAAAGTGCTACGACTCACACTATGCAAGAAGCGATTCAGAGCCATAGCACAGTGGCCCCTATGAATCTGTGGCCCCTTTTGCTATCGCTCTGAATCAGGTGAGCTCTGGCAGGTGGCTGTTGGTATTTACATGGTGAAACGAGATGAGCCACGGTCCAAATTACGGAGGTTTCTGAAGAGGACATGGGAATTAGGACTCCCCTGGATTTTGCTGAACATTTAGTTGGTTCCCCATGTCCCTCCCAATGCATTATAAACTTCTGGAAATTTTGACCGAACCTCATATAGACTGCAATGTGACAGTCACAAGCAGCGGTTGTGCATAACTAAGAATGCGGCATGCGCGCATCAGTGCATGAGCACTGGACATGTGATTTTTGCTTCCAAACAATTCAAAAGATCATGCCCAGATGAGGGAACCCGTTTGCCAGGTTCTATATATAGGGGGTCTGACCCAAGCGTCACCCAACCATAAAGCTACAAAGCCTGTTGTGAAAGATCGTTCATGTGGGTTCCTCTCTGGAACAGCTTGGCTCTTGCAAGTCGCCGATGCGAGTACTCAGCAAATTGGTGGGTCTCAAAACGATCAGTCCCCTATAGTTGGCATCCTTTTGGCTTCCATTGGCTTCCATTTACACACCAACCAAAAGGGGGTCCACCATTTTGCGACTCTTGTTGGGCGCCCCCCAAAGATTGGGAACTGTCATCTTGGTTTCCCCATTGCACCGCAAAAAAGGGGGGGGGGGGGAAAAACGGGCATACCGGTACTCCCATACAAAAGGGAATTCACCCACCAAAAGTTTGGGATTAAGGGAACTTGGGTCCGGGTAGCCTCAGCGCACTCGCACGTCGCTTGGCTTCAGTGGGCCGCAAGCTCTTGAGCCTGGCGAGGCGTGTCTCAAAATCCGCCCCCTCCCCCCCCGACCAAACGGTTTCCCGTTTTGGTGTCCACAAGGAGGGCATGTCCTTCTTGAGGGCACCCATTTCTAAGTTGTTTTCAAGGGACAACAAAAGAAAAGCAGTTAATTTGGGGGGATCCCTCGTTTAGAGACAAACCCTATGAACCAACCTCCAAAAGGGTAGCCTGAAAAAAGCAAATACACGTGTCTCAAACCTTTAGGATTCTTCGCAAGCGGCCGATCCCGCAAGGACAAAGGCGCATCTCCAGGAGTCTGCCGGTTTGGATGACAGAAGTTCTTCTGTGTGCCTTGCACCCCGACGCAACCTGTCTGGACCCAACTGCAAGTTGCAAGTTGCATCTGCAAGTTGCAACGGCCGAATCGGTGAGCTCGCCAAAGAAGACCTTTCGAGGGATTCACTTCCGGCCTGCTCTTGCAGCCTTCTGAGCGCCTCCTCCTGTGAGCGGACTTCTTCCATTTGCTGCTGTAGACCTCGAAGGATGGGCTCCACTTAACTTCTTTGGACTGGCTTTGTCTAGACAAACCCTGGAATCCGCGGAAATAAATCCCGGAGATTCGGGGGGGAATTCGTGGTAGCGGATCCCTGTTTCCTTTTTGGGAATACGTGCTAGTGAATCAGTGAACCCCTGTTTTCATGTTTTCGGAATTAGTGGAGGTAGATCCCTAAGTTGTTTTTTTGCTTTTTTTCCGGAACTCGCGGTTGTAAATATCAAATTCACGATTGGGAAGAGTCCTTTCATCATGGTGACGCAAGGCATTCTGCATGTCTTCAATCTGACCGTTAGAAGCTTTTCTTGTAGCACGACCACACGGAGTGGTCCTAGCGTTGGGCCATTTCAACAACCTTAAACCACCGGCGAAACAAACTCCTGTTTCCAGTCTAAACTGGGGCAACCAAAAACATGTCTGAGTTGAAAAAATATTGAAACCACCCTGAGTGCCAACAAGCGTGCTCAGTTGACCTAGACTCTAAAGCCTCACTTTTTTGCAGGTGAAACTTCTCACTACGGTGATCAAGATCTAGGCTTCAGTGCGCTTGTCCAGCTCCTCATGCTCTGCCAGTAGCTGTTGCTCCTGAGTCGATGATTCCCTGGGACAGTTCGGATGAAAGGGAACCAATGTTTACTTCAGGCCAGGACCGCTTCAAGTGCAATCCCACCAAACAACGCAAAGGAGAAAAGCACATTCCCGCTCAACACTGGGCATTGGCTGCTATTGAGACCAATACCTATCTGGTTCACGACGGGAAGGAACTAATCGGTCGCCATGTTGACGTGAACGTCTGGTAGGTGCGAGCCTATCAGAAGATTCAGCATGGTGTCGGCGCCATGGCCCCTCCAGACTAAGTTCTATGCTTGGGGCCGTCCAAAATCTCAAAACTCTGACAGGGCGTCAGCTCCTGAGGATTCGGATGCGGCTTCTCCAGCGGCCTGCTGCCAAGACCAAAAGTGGGTGCGCGTGCGCGTGCGAGCGTGCGTACTCGCTTGCGCGTGCGCATGTGTGTGTGTGTGCGTGGGTGGGTGGGTGGGTGGGTGGATGGGTGGGTGGGTGGGTGGGTGGGTGGGTGTCTGTGTGCGTTTGTGTGTGTGTGTGTGTCTGTGTCTCTGTGTACGTGTAGAGGTGTCTCTACGTACGTGTCTGTGCGTGTGGCTGTGTGTGTGTGTGTCTATGCGTGCGTCTGTGTGTCTGTGCGTCTGTGTGAGGGGTATGTGTGTGTGCATGCGTGCGTGCGTGCATGTGTGTATGTGTGTGTGTGTGTGTGTGTGTGTGTGCGTGCATGTGTGCGTGCGTACAAGATGGCACTTCCAGGAATCAGGAAATTCAAACAACCAAACATGTTGTATGTATGCATGCATGCATTTACGGTCATTTACGTATGTATGGATGCATGATTCGCAAGTACGTATGTATCTTTGTTTGTATGTGTGCGTATGTGTGTGTGTGTGTTTGAGTGTTTGAGTGTGTGTGTGTGTGCATGTGTGTATGTGTGCGTGTGTATGCATGGATGGATGGATGTGCCTGTGTGATTGCATATGTGTATGTGTGTATGTGTGTATTTGCATGTGTGTGCATATTTGCATGCGCGGGTGTGTATGTATGTAGGTATGTAGGTATGTAGGTATGTAGGTATGTAGGTATGTAGGTATGTAGGTATGTAGGTATGTAGGTATGTAGGTAGGTAGGTAGGTATGTAGGTATGTATGCATGTAGGTAGGTAGGTATGTATGTAGGTGTGTGTGTAGGTATGTATGTATGTATGTAGGTATGTATGTATGTATGTAGGTATGTAGGTAGGCAGGTATGTATGTATGTATGTATGTATGTATGTACGTATGTGTGTATGTATGAAATGTATGAAATGTATGACGTAACGTAACGGAACGTAACGTAATGTAATGTAATGTGGTGTGATGTAATGCAATGTAATGTAATGTATGTATGTACGTATGTACGTATGTACGTATGTACGTACGTATGTATGCATGTATGTATGTATCTATGTATGTATGAATGTAAGTATGTATGTACGTATGTACCTATGTACGTATGTACGTATGTACGTATGTACGTACGTATGTATGTATGTATGTATGTATGTATGCATGTAAGTATGCGCGCATGTTTGCATGCTTTTATGTTTGTTTGTGTGTATGTCTGTGTGTGTGTGTGTGCGCGTGTCTGTGTGAGTGCGTTTGTGCGTGTGTTTGTCGGTGTGTTCTGTGTGTGTGCGCGTCGGTGTGTCTGTGTGTTTGTTCGCATGCGTCTGTCTGTCTGTGTCTGTGTGCTTGGTTGGGCGCCTTGATGCTTTGAGTATCCCGGAACACCAAACATGATGATATTTGTATGTCTCAGTGCATCAACCCATTGACTAGTGAGGCTGCTCAGTGGCCTTTTTCAATGATACTAGGTAGATCTACATAGTGTGCATAATCAGGGTATCCTGTCGTACCAACGAGAATTGATCAACGCGGTGCTTCCAATGACTCAAAAAAGGCAAGTTAAGTCCGATCTTTGAATGCTCAAATTCGGCAGCTGCATTAACAAATCTATTTGTCGCAACACAAACCAACACAAATTATGCTGAAATCGCTGCCCTAAGCAAAATGCACAAAGGCGACACGGTGCAACTCGCGTTCAATCGAGGTCAATATCTGGGTGGTGTTTAAATGTCTTGTTCAAACTTAGGTCGTAAGGAACTCTTGCGCCAGGGTGTTTGCGCTAGCTTAAGCACAATATAGGCTTTCTTACGCGCTTACTGTTAGATGAGCTTCCCTTGGGCAGACCTTGCGCGCGTCTCATGCGATGAAAACCCCTTACGCAACTTGTTTCCCGCATGTTTCCTTCGGACCGCGGATGCTGCCGCAGTACCGTAGCGCTGAACTACCTCCTGCCAGGCAGGTGGTTCAGCGTTATAACTCAGCGTTAAGTTGCGGTTGTCCAGGCAGCTGGCGGCCGAGCCCTGCCAGTTTCTGCCGGGCAACTAGCCTCAAAAACGCAGAAATTTAGCGGCACGCGCCAGTTCATGTGGGTGTCTGAAAGCCACTGCCAAACGACTACGTCAAGCCACCAAAAGAAACAAACCAAACTGCTTAGAAAAGAGTTGGGAACACGACGGTTCCAAGTAGGATCATAGAGAGATGCCCCCTATTGCAAAAAAGGCTTGAGTATCCCTCTGAAGTATTCTGGCAACGTGCAGACTCTACTCAGATTCAAGATATTGCCACCAGGCTCGCCTCAAAGAAAAATCGGTGTCTTTTCTGGTGACCCGTTTTTGATGGAATCAAAAGGGAGGCCAACTCAACACCAACCACTTATTTTCACGGGGGTCCAGCACTTCGTGTACTCCTTTTCCCCAACATGCCTGCCCTGCCCGCCTGCCGCTCAACAAGTGCTGCAGTTTCTCGTGCAGTCTCTGCTGCACTTGCTTTTGCTCGTCGAGTTGCCGCAGAACCTCTTCCTGGCCGAAGATGATTGAGGCCAGGAGCATAGGTGTCCTTTTGGGGAAATAGATGGCCCTGGTAGATGAGTAACCCACCAGATAAACTAGGGCCATCTATTTCTCTACCAAAACAACCAAAAAGGACACCTATGGCCATGACGTGGAGTCCAACGCGTGCTATGAGCATGCGTCAAAATAGGAGACCCAAAACGGTGGGTTTCCTTTTTGGTTTCCCGTGGTACTTCAAACAAGAAGTTAAATAGACTAGTCTTTAATTAAAATGCTCTCGCTTACAACATACAGTGGAGAGTGGGCGTGGCTGAATTCAGTGCAAGTGGAGGTAGGAAACTTAGAAGCGGCCCAACTGCCAAGAATCCAATAATACTAGTTACGCACGTTGAGAAACCACCTCAGGCAGCTCATGCATTCTGTATAGTCTATTTGCAAAACAAGTTACATAAAAATGGATATGACCACATCTAAACCAGTTGAATTCAATCCAGTTCTAACATATCCATCCCCAGTTCTAGTTGCAACACATTGCAAAACAAGTCTATCACCAAACATGGCTAATATGTCTGGTGAGCACCGAACTGTTCTTATCCTGCAAACGGCAAGCTCAGGCCATTCGGCCCCTCCGATGCAGGCCGCCTCATCCATCTCCTTGCCTTCCTCGTATTGAGGACTTGCAAACGGATCCTCGGCTTGGCAGCGTGGCTTTTCGAGGCTTCCCTATGGTAGGGAAAAGCCAAAAACAAAAGATGAGGAGAATCTCCATGGGCGTCGATTCATATATTGCTTTCCCGTTGCCAATCAACAATGCCCTCACAAGACGAGCGCCTATGTTGAAACATATCGCACAAAATCGAGGCTCCGGCGTGAAGCGCGGGCCTTACGTGGCCGAGACGCTCCCGCGGGTTTTGCGCGCAGCCCCCCCCCCCACCCCAAAGTTCGGTCGACAATCCAGATAGAAACGCCTTTTGTCCCACACTCGAGTGGGAAATTGCTGCAAGCGTTGGCCTGTTGGGTTCCATGGGATTGCGGACATCTCCAGCAAAACAAAGATGTACTTGTACGGCCCAACCGGCTCGGTTGGAAAATCTGGGTCCCTCACAACAAACACAGCAGGCCTGCACTTGGGTAGCGCGGAGAGTGCATGATGTTGACTTTAGCACATGCAGAGACGCCTCGTTGATCTCACTGGAGCAACCCTGAGTGCCTGACAACTTTTGCCCATCGTCCACCTTGGCAGTGATTTCTAAAGGGAAACCTCCTAAATGCGACATCACACACAAATCGGTGTGTGTTTTGTTAGGGGGACCCCCAAAAACTGCGGTTTGCCTTGTGGTTCCAAAATGGCGGGGGGGGGGGGGGTCCAAAACAAACACCGCCAAATAATGTTCACTGGCCCAATTAGAATTCATCGCAGTTTCCGGCTCGTGTTCGCTGGATTTCTTGGGTAACCGAATCCGCAAATGTGAGTCCATATTCAAGGTTCCTTGCCTTGGGTGCTTTTTCCAAAGTAATGGTCCCCAAAGCAACTGGTGTCCTTTAGTTACCCATGGTCATTTGGCGGCCAGCAATCGTGCTCCCCCATTTCAAAGTAGTGATCCCCAAGGTCCTTTTCGTTTCCCTTGACCAAGCAAAAGGTTCGAATCACCAGTCTGCGAAACCTGACAGGTGCTTTTTTGAAAGGCAGCTGCAAACGGCCACCATCGCATGCCAAGGTGTCCTTTTTGGAAAATAGATGGCCCTGATAGATGATTGAACCACCAGGTAAACCAAGGCCCTTCTATGTTTTAAGCAAAACCACCAAAAAGGACACCTATGATGGCATGCCTTTCAGTCCAGTGCAAGCCTAGCCTCGTTCTCGGCCTGCAGCTCTTGCCTGAGACATTCCACGGCGTACTGTGCTCGGAGCCATGAGAGACGGTGCTCAGAAAATAAGCTTAGGCGATATCCCCAACAGCACCACACCCTCTCAGAATCCTCACGGAACCCGCCCCGAAACCCACCTCACCGCCGTTGTTGCTGAGGATGCCGCATTGTAACTTTATAAAGCAAAAGCTAAGAGTCACAGCGCAATCGCGCCCTGATCGGGGCCCCACGGCGGAATCGGGGTGCAATCGGGGCCCGAGCGGGACCCGGCGGTGCAATCGGGCCCCGACGGTCTCGTGGCGGTTTTCCTTTAGGATGCAGCCTTACGAGTGCGTCTAGCAAAGCTAGGCGATGCCAGCTTGGTACAGCATATTATAGCTCAACGCCGGTTTTCCTTAGGATGCAGCCTTACGAAGGTATTTAGCAAAACTAGGCGATGCCAGCTTGGTATAGATGACGGGGCCCGACTGAGTCGGGGATCGGGGCCCGACGGTGCAATCGGGGCCCGATCGGGCCCGACGGTTCCGTGGCGCAAGCGGGCTCCCACCAACCCCAGCCACCCAATTATAGCTCAATGCCGGTTTTCCTTAGGACGCAGCCTGACGAATGTATCTAGCAAAACTAGGCGATGCCAGCTTGGTATAGTTGACGGGGCCCGGCTCAGTCGGGCCCCGATCGGGCCTGACGGCGCAATCGGGGCCCGATCGGGCCCTGACGGTGCAATCGAGCCCCAACCTAACTCAGCGTGAAACTTTGTTGGGGGCTGCCCCATAGCTTTTGCAGAACTTTGTGGAAACCTCGTGGAGCGCTTTTGGAACCTTACTTCAAAGCCCTCGCAGCCTCGTGGAACGCTTGGAACCCAAAGCCCACCAAGTAATACTCAGGAATGCCAAGCATTTACTCTGTGAACAGTCAGCCCCGCAGCAACGTAATCTGATTGGCCACAAAGCCAACATGTGAGCAAGTCAAAACAATCAGAAAGTGTGCTGACATCCATTGATAACGGTTTCGCTTAGTGTTCCGCAAGCGATCTTCTGAGCCCTCAACTTACTGCTCCGATGGCTTTTTAGTCGGCGGGCGCAAGACACATTGCTTCCCTCCAGAGCAAACCGTGGAACCCTGGTGGAAACCTCATGGAACAATACCTCAAACAACCCGGACCACTCTGCAACTTTGGTGGAACCCTGGTGGGACCTTGGTGGAACCCTGGTGGAACCCTGGTGGAACCCTCGTGGAACCCTGGTGGAACCCCTGGTGGAACCTTACCTCAAACCACCCCGCCCCACCCCGCAGACCTCGTACAACCTGGTGGAACCTTGGTGGCACCTTGGTGGAACCTTTGGTGGAACCCTGGTGGGACCTTGGTGGAACCTTGGTGGAACCCCTTGTGGAACCTTACCTCAAACCACCCCGCCCCACAACCTGGTGGAACCTTGGTGGAACCTTGGTGGAAACCTCGTGGAACCTTACCTCAGACCCGCCCCGGACCACCCCGGAGCCTATCTGGGCTGAGACCCCAAAGCGTTCAGCTGTTGGGGAAAAAAAGGGGGGGAAAAAATGAATACGCCAGGCTTAAAGTAGATCACTGTGGATGGTTGCGAGATCCCCCTTTTGGGCACCACTCTTGTGTTCATTCATTTGATTAGGTGATCAGTTCATCAGCTCAACAGACCATTGTCTCATGAACTCTGTAGTGCATTCAGTGGTTGGTTCATCCATTGATGAAGTCATGAATTAATTCACTGCTAAATGAATAGTAGTTTAACTAGTTGACCTAATGTTCTCGTTAAACCGTCAACTAACCAATTAATTCTCGCATTCAGTCATTCAGTCATTCATTCATTCATTCATTCATTCATTCATTCATTAATTCATTCATTCATGCATGCATTCATTCACTCATTCATTCATTCATTCAATAATTCATCCATTCCATTCCATTCCGTTCCATTCCGTTCCATTCCATTCCCTTCCATTCCATTCCATTCCATTCCATTCCATTGCATTCCATTCCATTCCATTCCATTCCATTCCATTCCATTCCATTCCATTCCATTCCATTCCATTCCATTCCATTCCATCATTTATTCATTCATTCATTCATTCATTCATTCATTCATTCATTCATTCATTCATTCATTCATTCATTTCATTTTAGTAATTCATTCTTTCAGTCAGTCATTCATTCATTCATTCATTCATTCATTCATTCATTCATTCATTCATTCATGCATTCGTGCATTCGTGCATTCATGCATTCATGCATTCATGCATTCATGCATTCATGCATTCATGAATTCATGCATTCACTGCATTCGTGCATTCGTGCATTCGTGCATTCGTGCATTCATGCATTCATGCATTCATGCATCCATGCATCCATGCATCCATGCATCCATGCATCCATGCATCCATGCATCCATGCATCCATGCAGTCATTCATTCATTCATTCATTCATTCATTCATTCATTCATTCATTCATTCATTCATTCATTCATTCATTCATTCATTCATTCATTCATTCATTCATTCATTCATTCATTCATTCATTCATTCATTCATTCATTCATTCATTCATTTCATTCATTCATTCATTCATTCATTCATTCATTCATTCATTCATTCATTCATTCATTCCATTCATTCATTCATTCCATTCATTCATTCATCATTCATTAATCTATTCATTCATTCATTCATTCATTCATTCATTCATTCATTCATTCATTCATTCATTCATTCATTTTCATTCATTCATTCATTCATTCATTCATTCATTCATTCATTCATTCATTCATTCATTCATTCATTCATTCATTCATTCATTCATTCATTCATTCATTCATTCATTCATTCATTCATTCATTCATTCATTCATTCATTCATTCATTCATTCATTCATTCATTCATTCATTCATTCATTCATTCATTCATTCATTCATTCATTCATTCATTCATTCATTCATTCATTCATTCATTCATTAATTCATTCATTTCATTCATTCAGTCATTCAATCAATCAATTCATTTCATTCATTCAGTGATTGAATCAATTCATTCAATCATTCAGTCATTCATTCATTCATTCATTCATTCATTCATTCATTCCATTCCATTCCATTCCATTGCATTCCATGCCATTCATTCATTCATCCATTCATCCATCCATCCATTCATATCAATCAATCAATCAATCAATCAATCAATCAACCAATCAATCAATCAATCAATCAATCCAATCAATCAATCAATCAATCAATCAATCAATCAATCAATCAATCAATCAATCAATCAATGCAATGCAATGCAATGCAATGCAATGCAATGCAATGCAACGCAATGCAATGCAATGCAATGCAATGCAATGCAATGCATGCAATCATTCAATCACTCTTTCATTCAATCAATCAATCAAATCAATGCATGCATGCATTCATTCATTCATGTATTAATTCATTCATTCAATCAAATTCATTCATTCAATCAATTCCATTCATTCAATCAATTCCATTCATTCAATCAATTCCATTCATTGATTCATTCATTCATTGCTTCATGCATTCATTCATTCATTCATTCATTCATTCACTCACTCATTCATTCATTCATTCATTCATTCATTCATTCATTCAATTCATTCATCCATTCATTCATTCAATCAATTCATTAATTCATTCGTTCGCTAATTCATTCATTCACCCATTCCTGCATTCATTATTTCTTTCGTTCATTCATTCATGCATTCATTCATTCAATCGTTCATTCATTCAATTCATTCCTTCATTCCATTCATTCCATTCGTTCCATTCATTCCATTCATTCCAGTCATTCCAGTCATTCCAGTCATTCCATTCATTCCAGTCATTCCATTCATTCCATTCATTCCATTCATTCCATTCATTCCATTCATTCCATTCATTCCATTCATTCCATCCATCCATCCATTCATTCATTCATTCTTTCATTTCATTGAATTCAATTCACTTCAAATCAATTCAATTCATTCCATTCAATTCAATTCAATCCATTCCATTCCACCATTCCATCATTCCATAATTCCATCATTCCATCGTTCAATCATGCATTCATTCATTCATTCATTCATTCATTCATTCATTAATTCATTCATTCATTCAATTCAATTCAATTCAATTAAATTCAATTACATTCAATCAAATTCAATTAATTAACTGATTAATTCATTCATTCATTCATTCATTCCATTCCATTCCATTCCATTCCATTCCATTCCATTCCATTCCATTCCATTCCATTCATTCATTCATTCATTCATTCATTCATTCATTCATTCATTTCATTTAGTATTCATTCATTCATCATTCATTCATTCATTCATTCATTCATTCATTCATTCATTCATTCATTCATTCATTCATTCATTCATTCATTCATTCATTCATTCATTCATTCATTCATTCATTCATTCATTCATTCATTCATTCATTCATTCATTCATTCATTCATTCATTCATTTCCATTCATTCATTCATTCCGCAAAAGGTTACAAGCCAAGATGTGTGGTTCCCCAAAGAAAGCCACAAAAGCAAACCAATCCCCGGTCCCAAAGATCAGGGTTTCCCACACACCAGAGAACAACAACCAAAAGGAAACAAACCAAACAAGAAAAGGGTTAACCCGCAACCTTGGTCGACAACAGGCCGCACGACTGGTCCCTACCAACCTGGCGGCGGCCCGAGGTCTCTTTCTCCCCCGAGATGCCGTCGGTCGACGCAGGGGTTCGGCGACGCCCATTCGAGGCGCGACGGAACCCAAAATCTTGAGCCAAAACACCACAGGTCGGTCACTAACGCGACGTTCCTGATGATGATATGAACCATGGCTAATCACACCCCCCTCACGAGGAGCCCGTCATATGACGGGTGGAGCGTGCCATTTACTGATAGGATTTAACTGCTCGCATGCGTCCGCAAACAGCTGGACACTACCGCCGTCAGCGGTGGAGCAAACCCACAAAGGCAGTTGCGCGA